AATCATATGCCCAAGTATGTTTTCCATAAACACCGCCGATGATAATCTCATGCGAGGTTCTGCTATTGGCTGCTTATGTAATTCAAAATTGTAGAAAAACCTGAACAGAATTTTTGTGACCGACCTCGAGGGTCTTGCCACGATTGAGCATCATGATCTGGGTTTGTGCTTCAGGCGACCTACTTGATCATATCAGGTCCAACTTGCAGCAGCTGGCGGAGACACTATTCACGCAGGCCCCGACTGTCGCCTGCGAAATTCGGATTGCCGATCGATCACCGATCATCAAAGGCAACTCCGAGTCCTCGTCCCATGATTCACGCAACGAGCAGCTTAGCATTGCAGGACTGTCCGTGTCCGGTTCCAGCTACAGAATGACATTCAAACAGGCTTAATATTGACAGAGTGCGAGTATCGCATCATGACCACGACCTATCTAATTTTGTATTTGCTCCTCAACGGTCATCCTTCCTAGCGGGCAGTACTAGGGGTGATAATATTTTTTTATCAGAGCACAGTGGCTCGGTGCTCTGCCTCCGAGTAAGGCTTTCCGAATCATCGAGCGGGCACGGCGGGACCAGTAGAGAAAGATCTAATATAAAGCATGTTCCCAAAGTCCAGACCACGGTCCCGCCAGTCTTCTTTGTCCTTGCACTCGTCCCATTGGATTGAAGACGCTGCATTGCTTGACGGAACGGCATTTGATTGAATTCCAATCACCCCCGCAATTCGGCGCGCCAACAAAACTGATTCGTTTCAAAGGCCACAAGTTCATGTCCTCCTGCAGTGCACACGATACAAGTTTCTGTTGCAGCCTAACATATTTCTATCGTAATCTAGTCCGTTCGTACGTTCTGTTGACTATGTGAGTGTTCCCAATTGCTAGCATTGGGATCTTTCCTAATGATGATGATTAAAGTTGAACACCTCTACTCTATCACCAACGCTTCTCGTCTGGCATGTTGCCGACTAATCTTGTTATTCAATCGATGCAGGGACAACCCTGCTCCAGACCGTCCCGGCGAGTTTCACGTTCGCATTCCTATGATCAACCTCCAAACAGCGTCAACATTGTGTCACGGCGCCAAGGCTCTTCATCCTTCCCCATCCACGACCGCTTACCCTCAGATGCATCACATACATCGTGGTCGTCTGACCACCCTGTCTCCTCGGTACCGACTCTCTCTCCCACATCGACTTACAGGTTCGCGTATTCTAGATGGGGTTGTATTCAATACTAAAAATCACTTTGTATATCCGCAGCACGTTGTCTTGGTCTGGAAGTTCTCGCACCCAAGAACGACTATCACCCATAACCCCCGAACTCTTTTACTCGCCGTCGACCACTATCGCATCTCCTGAGGTGACACCTATTACCGCATTCCTTTCCGAATTCTATGAACCAGATTCAAAATCGGGCAGCGGTACTCGCACGCTGGTCCATTTATCTCGAGGCGATCCTCGACGACTGGATCTCTTCGGAGAGAGAGACAGGAATGGTATGAAAAATGCAATACTCACGGAATCTCCAGTCAGTTACCTGGCTGATGGGGCTAATCCGCCTCTTCCCGACGATATACACCTGATAGAGACACCAACACCAATACCATTGAGCGCGGCAAGCTGTGCGCATGGTCAGGGTTCAGGACATGAAGTTGACGTTCGCAAGTCTCGTCGCTTTTGCCGGGACTTTGGAGAGCCTGTCCCATCAAAGGACCCCATCTATGACGAATTTCCCACACATCTTGCAAAGGACTTGCCGACAACACCTTTGTCTTCCTCTCCCCCATCTCCGCTGAGTCATGACCTCCTACCCCCACCTTCACGTTCAGAGGTCTGTAACCTTTTCTCTGAGGACGAAACTACTGCCGTTAGGGAATTTTTGAGGATATGGGGTTCAAACAAGAGGGTGAAGAAATCTTCATCGAAGCTGCAGGTGATTGAAGATGAAGCCCCAGGTACTCAGGGTGATGATGATTATTCATGGGAGGCCGCAGAAGTTGAGGACGATGTTGGAGATTCCGCGTCTTGCAGCATGCTTCTTCACGAAGTTAGCGAGATGGTGGGCATCTCGCTTGAAACATCGATGGTGGAAGGCCAGTCCTCGATCGCATCCACACCTCCAGGGCTTGATACACTGGGTCGATTGATCCAGGATAGTCATGAGAGTTCACAAATCCTAGGCCTACGTTCGTCTTATCAGTCTGCCCCCCCAGACGGTGCCAACGTGTGCGACAGGACTTCGACGAGTTCCTGTCACCGTATGGATCCCCTTGACGTCGCACCTCGACATTCAGTAACCTCCAGTTTAGTCCTGGGCAGCAATCCTTCCATTCGTGAATATGCAGTAGCTGCCAAGCCGGTGGATGTACCTGTCATCGTAGCGCTTACCTCAAATGAAGCCTATTCGGCGAATTCCTGCGACGGCTTGGTTCCGGACCGACAACTAAGCCTTCGCAGGTCCAGGTCTACCGATGGCAACCTAAGGCGCCGCGGACAGATCTTCAACGTGGAGAAACAAGTCATGGGTGCTGTGCCTAGTGGCGTGGTTGATTCATGCACGTCCTATATACCTACGAGAGATGCGCCGCCGCTTCCACCTCTACCACCTCCCTCCGGATCTGTGAGACCTGTTTCGGCACTCGACAGGCTTGAGTCTAGCTTGTCAAGGCTCAAGGCGCACAATTCGCAGTCGCGGAAGTCCAGTAAAGCTAATGTGCCTTCAGAAAACCGAAGACCATCTCCATTCACTACCTCACGAGAGCGCAAGCATCACTCCAGCGTCGCCGCTCGTCTTCCGGACTCTCGTTCTGGACACGGACGTCACTTCTCGAGCCCCATGGCCGATGTGACAGCTCATCGGAACCATCGTAAGCCGCCTCGGGTTGAAACTGATCCCATCAATGCGCGCCTGAAGGAGCGCGATGCAAAGCTATATCCGTACTCGGAGAACCCAGAGTCGGCTATAAGATCATTCATGGAAATGGATGTGGTACCACCCCCGCCTCCCCCTCCTCGGACATCGAGATTGGGGAGAGTTGCTGCCAGATTGAGCCGGGGTATAACGAATTGGGGAAGGAATATCGGATCTAAGGGCAAGGAATCTTCATAGGGCTCGGTGTATACTGATTTGTAGCCATTGTGCGTGTGCGTTCTTTCGATTTGTCCTACGACTTTTACATTGTATGGCAAGATCTGGTAGCTATGTATCTAATGTGTATTTAGCTTTGTAACGTCCCCGATATCCTAATACTTTGACACGGATTACAAATCTGATTATAATTACCTGCCGAAATTCCCAATAATGTTTTCGTGTCTGTTCCCGAAGTCCTTCGTTGTTCTCCTCACCAACGCCGCCCTACCCCGATTCTCCTCCTACTAGTGGTTCATGCGTACCCCGCACTAGCACCATACCATCAGGTTTCTCGGATGGTCGGTATTGGCGCTCCGTATGTCACCGTTGTCAGCGACAATCCTGCGTCATTTACCCGCGTTAGAGGCGGCTTGCCAACATTCTTCAGCCTTTGTCCCGAAGAAGCGTACCCGTCCTGATTTTATCAAATTCCTTCTAATGCACTTCTGTTGTTTACGCGTACGCGCCGAGTCAGGTGCTGTACCTCACGAGGCTTTGTTTGCTCATTATTTCCCTTTTATCAAATGACCGTCACCCTCCCATATGTGCGTCATCTCGGGTTACATTGAAATGACGTATGGAGAGGTTCGATCGTATAATGACCTCCTTGCTGACCCAGATCCTACACTGAACCATGAGCCAGTCCGACCGGCTCTCGAGTGTACATACGTGATTGAGGTTTGTGAGGTGCTGCCACTGTCCGGGCTTCCAAGGCCCCCACTTAATAGGACTGATACTCATTGTGACTGAGCCAAGTTCTTCCCCGTCTTCAGGTAAATATCTTAATTCGTTCCCTTCATTATCCACTAACAGGGTACTAGAAGCTAAGGGGGCATTCGATACCTCCCCAGCAGGGCCAACAGCCACAAGACCTATCAGAACCAGACTCATCAGTTGGACCGCTGGAAGGAGGTTCGGCGCGAACGCTTTCACTTTGCTCTACACTGGTGACAAAAGTGTCATTATGGGTCCAGGCACTCATGATTCCAAGTTCAAGAACACCAGCGTCTACACTCTCCACACTCGCGGGAAGTGAGGCAGGAGGAGACAAGTTGTCTGGTGCGCTGGCAAACATTTTGAACGGAATATCTGGAATGTGCAGGAAACTAATAGAATAAAGGACGAGATGACACAATGATACCTTGACAGTAGTCAAGGCGCTACACTGTTGTATGTACATAAATGCAGTTGGTCCCGCTCTCTAACCTACTGCAACAATGAACTCTGTTAAATACCACTACCCCGTGATCGGCCGCAAAGGCACTGGAGGCATATTTGATCGCCTACCCATCCAGACGCTGGAGAAAGACCATCCCTACTGATTCGCATTGTTTCTTGCTTTCAATGCGATCCAGCAGCGGTCCGATGCTCCCCACGTCGTCAAAGAGCCTGCAGCTACCTTCATGGAAATTGCATCAATTCACGGCAAGTCCTATGTTGAATGGGCTGGTGACCGCAACGAGGATATCTCAGCTGACTATAGCTCCACTGACAAGAAAGATACCAGCCCTGTTCCTTCCAGATTCAGAGGTATGGCCGTCGTTTCCACCGTGGTTCCCCACAGCCTGACAGTATTGTGTGACAGGTTATTGTAAGTAAGTCAATACACGTCCTCTTGCTCTGTCGACCTAAAACCTTTCTTCAGCCATGGCGCCGTTGTTTTTCCCCACCTGGCATCGCTCATATGTTATGCTTATCGAGATATGTTCAACAAATACGGTTGTGCTTAACGCGCTGTTCAATTCCGTTCTATTGGGTTACAGCAATCGATCGGAAACATCGCTGAACAATTGGCCCACGACAATGAAGCGATAACCCGGATAAAAATGGAGTATGGATCAAAGCTGCTAAAGAATTGTGTTTTCCGTGTGTGGCAAATCATTCCTGACACTGATACAGACACTACATGCAGATACTGGGACTGGGCCGGTAAGGATGTACCAGAGAATGGCCTTCCTCCTGTTTTGTACGAAGAAAAAGTCGAAATCATGGCTACTGGAGGTAAAGAACAAATTGTCGATAATCCGCTCTCATTTTCCTCGTGTGTTGGCGGAACCCCAGCCGACTTCAGCGACGAGAAGGATGACCTGGTAATGTTACCTTAGCCTTTCCGGGTCACCAAACTTGCTCAAATGTTGTCTTTAGACAGGACAAGTAGCGTATTTCTCCAAGTGGCGAAGGACATACCGCTACGCTTATAGTACCCCAGACCCTGAAGGCAGCCGCATATACTTGTTGCAAAAGTCAGTATCGATGGAAACATGTTGCGCGAGGCCAGTGCTGATTTTGCATTTGTAAGGATGTTCAAAGCCTGAGCAAAAAATCTGAGACTCAGAGTCGCTCATCTCTTTACGTTCAACGATGATAGCGTACGTCTTACAATATTTAAGCATGAGATACCGCCGGCTCGGGCGCAATTGTGTCCACCACGTCATGCTGTGTCGCTGCACGTTGATAGTTTGGTCTCCTTTGTCTTTCCTATTTGCTCTTCCTTCATTCACTACTATGGCGACGTCCGCTTCATTTCATGGAGTTGTTGCAAAATGCAAGTCAGTATCAGATAACTTTTGGCGATACGACGGATTCATTGCTACTCCAGAAATTGGAGACATTCATGTCAATGTGTTCACATTACGAATGACGAGAATCCGCAGAGTCCTATTTTAGTTCGAACAGCTTAAAAGAAGCAGAGCACGCTGAATTGAACGGACCAGAGAACACGCCTGGTTATCTCGCGACGTTGACTCACCCTGGAGTACCTCCTCCGAATCGCCGACTCGTGATGCGCCTGTTGATGCGGCATATGTGACGCGGCACTGTGAGAAATCCTAGGGTAGAGATATTGCAGACATGCTACAGTTATTCCTACAGCACGTATCTCGCAGGCCCGAGGCTAAACAACCCGATCTCCTGCAGAAGTGTCTCAAGGAGGTTGCGCGCGTTCTCAACAAGATGCCAGCTGCAGATAGGTTTCATCCTTCTCGCATCAAGGAAGCCCTCGACAGCTTGTGAGTGCTCTTTTGCTGATTGAGGTGCCATCATGCTCATAGAGATTGCCAGCGCGTCGGAGCGAGTTGAAACTACATCCTACGGGTCTTTTGTTCAAGCTTCAAACATCGCATTTACATCCCTTGCAGGACTCCAAGTCAAGGGAATGCTTGATACGCCCTCAAACCTTGACATCATTTTTCAAGTGAACGATCATCCTATCCACCAAGATCACCAGGACCGCACATCGAAATGGAAGCCCGACGTTGTCATTCTTCCTTACGCATGCGCATTCGCTGGCTTGCCCGAGGAGAATCGCGATATGGGCGCCGATGATTACAAGCTCATCAGTGCAGCCACAAAGCCGAAAAAGAAACTCTTTTGGAAAGATGTGCTAGCTTGTATCGAGTTTAAGAGACCAACGAAAAAGCTTTCACAGTGTCCCCTTTCTTATGAAGTGGCGCCGTATAAGCCTACCCATCCAGAATATCGGCGCGTGGAACCTCCTGAGACCGGCACGCCTGCGATTGCAGCGGTAGACTCTGCCCAGACCCCAGCAATCCTGCCAGTACCTGATGCTGAACGACGTAAGTGGTGCATTTACGACCCGGGTGTTAAACTAAACCAGCTCAGCTGTACGACGTTCGTCTCGTCTTGCTGTAAGCTCTCAAAATCCATCCAACGACTCCAGCAAGCGCAAGGCCGCCGAACCTTTGGAATCCGCCAGCAAGCGCGCCAAGACTGACGACGACACGGAACCCGACCCCGGAACCCAAGCTAGATGTGACTGTCCAAACAGGGCTATACGCTGCCGAAATGTTTGCTGCCAATGTTGCTGTCAAACATCTTGTCAATCTCGTCGTTGTCGGTGTGTTATTTGGTCTTTTCATATCGGTCATGCTCTTATCATCGTCTTTATAAGGTAGGCGTCTTGCGGATTCTACGAACATCACGTGATAAAGCGTGATTTTGAGTGACAAAACACAGAAAAAAGGTTAACAAATCAACGAGGAAACGAGGACACAATCTGTAATGTCAATGGATAGAAAAAGCCTTTGCGAAGATTATGATATTTGCAGAATTTGCAAAAGTGCAGTTGTTAATTAGTTAACTTGATTTCTATGGATTTCCATTTTCCTGATGTCCTAGCGGAGGTCAAAGCTCGTCGACTCCGAAATGCAAGGCTGCCGTGAAGCCGACAGGCTCGTCTGAGGGCCCCAAGTTGGCATGGTTGACAAACCACAGTGGCGAAAATGTCGTGCTGCAGGCCTGAATGCATGGTGGGCATCAAAGCGACAAAGAACAAGCTCGGACTGCAAAAAATGATGAAAATGTGAGTAGTAACCAAACTTCGGAAGCTGCAACAGCTCACATCAAACTCGGCACATAGGGTCATGTTGCAGATGATGTCTGCAGTGCATCGAGCAAAGCATCCAATGGTGCAGCTTTGAGTATTGTTAGCAAGCCTTTCTCGCGAGTCCAAAGTACCGTGGCCATCGCGTTCTTCCAGAGTCCATCATGCGAGAGTTTGATCAAGTCTCCATTTAAGTTTTTTAGCATATTTTCATTGGTATATATCTCACATAAAGTGTTCTAATGTCTGCATTTGTATATGCACACTCTACAGTACTACCTACTTACTTATCCTCCTCGCCATTCGCTCGACATCTACCTTACTTTACTTATCCTCTTCGGCATCCGCTCGGCATAGTTAGCATTGACGCGTCACACTCATGTCACATCATGTGATGTTTGTAGAATCCGCATGACGCCTACCTTAGATGAGACATCAGGCATTTGACCAGAGTATGACAAGAATTTAGCTAGCTTTATTTAATGCATAATATCAAAAATATTTATCATAATTGTAAATCACATGATAAAGAAATAAATAGGCAGACTACAGTGGTGGGATCTCCCACTGCTATAATATTGACTGACCTATAGTACCAAGTTATGATCTACTAGCATATTGTTGTGTTATTGTCAAATCAATCTATGCCTACATAGGCAGCTTCCAATTGCAGAATATTTAATTACTGACAGTGTGCTGGAAAATTATACTAGATTATCATGCTGTAGCAAGATGCTGATTATTGCCCCAATATGTCTGGCTTTACATAGGCAGCTTCCCGTGGCAAGATCTGTAATTACTGACAGCATGCCAAGATACGACATTTAGTTGTAATACCACAACAAGTTGTTGATCTTCTACCAGAGACAGCTACTGTTATATGGGCAGCCTTTGTTGGTAGGATCCACAATTGCCGACTGTGTGCTTGGGCATGACACTTAATTATCATGCTGTAGCAAGATGCTGATTATTGCCCCAATATGTCTGGCTTTACATAGGCAGCTTCCCGTGGCAAGATCTGTAATTACTGACAGCATGCCAAGATACGACATTTAGTTGTAATACCACAACAAGTTGTTGATCTTCTACCAGAGACAGCTACTGTTATATGGGCAGCCTTTGTTGGTAGGATCCACAATTGCCGACTGTGTGCTTGGGCATGACACTTAATTATCATGCTGTAGCAAGATGCTGATTATCGCCCAAATATGTCTGGCTTTACATAGGCAGCTTCCCGTGGCAAGATCTGTAATTACTGACAGCATGCCAAGATACGACATTTAGTTGTAATACCACAACAAGTTGTTGATCTTCTACCAGAGACAGCTACTGTTATATGGGCAGCCTTTGTTGGTAGGATCCACAATTGCCGACTGTGTGCTTGAGCATGACACTTAATTATCATGCTGTAGCAAGATGCTGATTATCGCCCAAATATGTCTGGCTTTACATAGGCAGCTTCCCGTGGCAAGATCTGTAATTACTGACAGCATGCCAAGATACGACATTTAGTTGTAATACCACAACAAGTTGTTGATCTTCTACCAGAGACAGCTACTGTTATATGGGCAGCCTTTGTTGGTAGGATCCACAATTGCCGACTGTGTGCTTGGGCATGACACTTAATTATCATGCTGTAGCAAGATGCTGATTATCGCCCCAATATGTCTGGCTTTACATAGGCAGCTTCCCGTGGCAAGATCTGTAATTACTGACAGTGTGCCAAGATATGGCATCCAGTTATCATGCCACAACAAGTTGTTGATCTTCTACCAAAGATGGCTACTGTTATATGAGCAGCCTCTGGTAGCAGGATTTACAATTGCTGACTATGTGCTTGGGCATGACACTAGATTATCAAGGTGTAGCAAGGTGCTGATCATTCCCCCCATACGTCTAGCTTTACATGGGCAGCTTCTAATGGCAACATCCATAATTGCTGACACTGTGCCAGGGTTTGACATCCAGTTGTCATGCCACAACAAGTTGTTGATCCTCTATTAGAGACAGCTACCATTATATGGATAGCTTCTGGTGGCAGGATCTGTAATAGCTCAAAATGTGCTGGGATATGTTATTCGATTACCACACCATAGCAAGCTGTAGACCTTCCACCAAACACACCTTATGTTGCATGCGTGGCTTCTAACAACAAAATCCATCATTACTAACAATAAGTTAAGCTCTGACATTCAGTTATCTCGCTGCAGCAGGTTGGTGATATTTTTCTCAAGCATAGTACATACTTACATTGGGATTCTTATGTGATACAATGACAGAAGGATCAGCCAATTCATTCATAAGTGGCATTAGGATATCAAGTGTTAATACAGACACTGCGGTAACAACAACAATGAATTAAGTACTACCCATAGCGGCTCGTTCTCGAAGGACAGCACGTTTCTCCCGAATTTTAGATAGTGCGCTGTTTTTGCTTATACATCGCTGCGAAGAGGTAGAATTGGGGAAGATACGGCTGTAAAAGACATTGACTTGAGAGTTAGAGAGTGAAATTGATCACGAACCGTGTCCACCACGTCATCAAGTCAACTACTTCCTGACTTTCATCAGGATCTTCCAACAGATCCAGAATGCTGTGATAAAAGTTCTCGGAGTCTGTGACCGTGTCGGTACGCGAAAATACAGACGATGAGCTCAATGAAAACCGAATCTAAAGATTAATCAGTAGGCAGGCATAAATTGTCAAGTTTTCGACGCACCTGCGTGGCAATATAAGCCAAGGACCCTTTAGTTACAGACTTCATGCCGTGGAGATATGCATTTCCGGAGCGCGTTGCTTTTGGCTCCTTGTCCACGGAGCTCGGAGACGTAAATACGTGCTTGAAACCCTGCCGAAACAAAACCTTATAATGAGCGGTAAATTTATGGGCGAAAAACTTACAAAGATGAGTATCTCGTTCCTAAGTAAACCAGTCCAAGGATCTTCAGGGTCATAGACATACCCAGCATAAAGAAACATCGGCCACTGATCACCACGAACTGCAGTTTCACCGCTTTTGAGGCTCTGCTTGGTTCTGGCAAGTGATTTGATGGGTAGGTGATTGAATGGTAAAAATACTTACACTGGATTCGACCAGTCAAGGCCTGCCGGGCAGAGCAATGCGCCAGTCACTTCATGATTGAAGCCCCGGTCAGATTTGATATTTCGGGCAAGAGGCGGAATAAGTGGCTGTCCTCTAGGAACAAGCCATTCGAGGACGGCAGATTTAAGAGTCTTGGTGTCATCGCCTCGCGCACCAGACGCTCCTTTACCCATCTGCCAGAAGATGATTGTGATGATGACACTACAGTATCAAAAACTTACCAGTTCTCCCACGTGAATGATGTCCTCTTCTTCGTCATTCGTCAGGCGATCTAGAAGACCAGGGTAGGAATCTATTAATTCCACGAATACCCTGTGTTCCCGGCGAACACTAAAAATTGAAAGGGTTATGAGGGGGTACTGGCATTGAAACGTCAAAATTACACTTACTCCGCTGGATAATCCTCGATTGAAGAGTCTCGTAGTTCTTCGAGTCAGAGTATACCTGCGGTCAGAAGGGCAGGATAGTTGCACATTGCAAACACAGTGCGGCCAAAATGTCGACCATGCAGAACAAGGGGATTCGATGAAGTCCTTTTTGAAGGAGAGTCAGAACGGTAGGATTATAATAAGTCAAACACAACCTACGCCTTTTTACGCGGGCCCGAGCGGAGTGCCGAACCACTACGTTTGCGCGAAGGTTCAACAGACGGACGATTTTCATCATCACTCATGCTCAAGTTTAGGAAGAGGGAGGCTGAAATATCAATGGCTACATGAGACGGTTTATATGCCATCGGATAGGAAGTAGCGGAAAATTTAGCTTCCGTCCGCTGCAGATATCGTAACGGCATTGAAAGCGCGGTTCAATCATTATTCATTTCGGAACTGAAAAAAAAATCGCTATCCTGGCACCGACAGCGGACGGGTGCATTGCCTCAGATGACAGCATCGTACGTTTATACATAAGTCAAGTCGGCACTGTTGACACAATTATCAGCATCATGCCGAGTAGCCTGCCGACGCTGGACTCACACTCTCGAAAAAGTTTGCGACAATGCTTCCACGTCGAAAAAAATGTCACGTTCAGGTGACTTCTTTAATATGACATGCGCTACAAGATTTTTGAGCAGATGAACCTTACAGGATTCAACTGTCCTCATCAGGTGAGCTGAGAGGCATCAACGACACAAAAGACATACAAGTCGGCATCGATTGCAAGTGAGTAAGTTGATACAGATCTACTAAAGAGACTTAGCGTACAGGCAAATTCGTCAAAACAGAAATCTGATCGATATGGGGACACAGACTACAGGTGAGATTTAATATTTTGATGCGGGAAATTTGTACTAAAAAATCACCTAGTCTCCAACGAACAATGCATAAGTGAAGAATCCGAGCTACAACTCGTCAAGGAACACTTGAGGAACGCGGAAAACAATATTGCTTACCTTTCAGATAGGGTGATGACCTACAGAGATAGATGGCTAGAAGAATACTACCGCGCCGATAACCTCGAACACCACATGCCCTCTAACATCCACGTGGCTTACCCCCCTCAAATTCCGTACGGTGCTCCCTCTCCTACGTTCTTTTCCAGAAGCTTGGACGGTGATGACGAGTATTAGAGCTGGAAGAGAATAATGGCTTTGAGTTGAGCAGATATCACATCCGAGTCTGAACCATTAAGTAAGAATTTAGGATAAGAGAACGCACCTATTTTCTAACAAACGAGAATGTAAGGCTTGTCCGTATATCACGTAGTTAATTGGTTTCAAGTTAGACGTCCAAACATCAAGGTTGAAGATATTCTCAAAATTCAATCCCGTGAGTAGTATGCAGCATTGATCGTCACCTGATGGGAAGGTCAGGTAAAGGCTTAACCAAGGCGTATACTAATGATTTACCTGGTCACCGTTGGGCCCCAAGCATCGGAAGAATCATCCTAGAACTCCGGAAAATACTAAGGTTGTCCAGGTCAACAACTGAATGCTGACTCGCACTTGGTGTCAGAAGTAAGACCTACCAGTATAAATCACATACACCCATGATGGCTATAATGGTTCGTGATGACCGGGCTCCAGACCATCTGGGTTGGAACAGTAAAACCCTTGTGGATAGGAGCCTATACTTGAGGACAATAATCGTGTCACTGACAAGAGGCCAAGTGTCTCATGAATGAGACTTGCCCGTAGATATTCGCGGCACCCTACTACACGTCATAGAACTCAATATGACAGTCATCTGTAAATGATTCGACTTACCAATAATTGCGCCATTCTTCTCCCGGGTCGTTAGCGTTCAAGCGACGACAATACTAGAGTGCAGCTCGCGAAAGTATTCTGCTTGCGTGGCTGGTTCCTAGAAGTATTCATAGTCTTTACATCGCAATTGATGCTCAATTCAATCTAATGGGCATACTAAACGTGAGGATCACTTACTGATCGGAGGCCGCAACCTATCACATGTAAAGCTGCTATGATACAATGTAGTGCCCGCTGTGCTATGCCGCGGGGTTACGGGAGAATGTTGCAGCCCGGATGAACTGAATTCCGGAGGTGCAGGAAGTTTGTCATATCCCTCTGCCGGATCGGTCTGTGAGGGTTCGTTGGCGTCAGACTTTACATGACCAAGTTTATCACCTAACCTTGCAGGAGTGACAAGAATTGCTTCCGAGTTCGCGCAACACGGCCGTTCCGACGCTTCCACATAAGGAACGACTCCTGAGTTGAGGAAAATCATTATTATGTTCTGAAGTCCTCCGCTTTAGTAAAGACTTACGAAGTCTTTAGGCTCATAACCAGTCACTAAAGAACAGTCATCTCGATGTAGTACTAACTTCAACTAAATGATAACTAACTAACTAACTAACTATATGTCCAACGCTTCAGATAAGAAAGCTTCTCTATGCTCGAGACTCAAGAATCGATATTCCAATTATATATATGCGATAATCGAACATCGAACACAGAAAATAAAAAATGACATAGAATAATAGTAATAATCAGGCATGTGGTAACGGTAACATATCAGCAATGTGAGATGGAGGTTGGAAAGAAATTCTCTGAAAGAAATAACGCAGATGATATAGTGAATGACAATTCAGACTCAGCCGGAACTCAGCTCACTTAGTAATCGGGCATTTCCAGGCTGGGTCTGAATACGTAGTCATTCAGTATATCAACTGTGCGGCGCTTGCCGTGGAAGTCTCTTTTCGACTTCGATCATACATGTGCTGTGATTATTATTAAATCGTATGGTTGTATTTCATTAGAGTAGTACTAGTACGTGTTAGTTCAATTTGAGGCTGTTGCGGCTGCATCTATAACTAGTATTACTATGTAGCATTGTGTGGGCAGTGCGAGGCTGCAGGACTTGGCAAAATTTAATGTACTCATTGTCCAAAATTGTGGTGGGGCGGGCGGGATGTGACAGTTTGTTTACCCGCGCCATCGGTCCACAATGACCACAAAAGCTCATTGTGTGCGCCGTGCATGGTGCACGGTCCATAACACTTCACACCGTCAGAAAGTATGTCCACAATTAGTCATTCACTATAAATTCTGATCACGCACATTCGTAGGTCTTCTTTCTACTCTCTCTATCTACATCGATACCTAGTATACTAGTCGCTAGAAAAACATAGAATAGACCTTTGAATAGACTAAGCTCAAGTTATCGTCACAGTATGTTATGTTTTGGCTTCCTTACAGGGCATTAATGATTTAGAGTACAGGCAGGATCATAGTAATCCGATTGATGTCTACTACTGCTGGTACTAAACGTGCCGCACCAAGTGATGATGCACTTGAACCCGCTTTGAAGTGCACGCGAAACAGAACTTATGAAGGTAAGTCATGACTCGTAATATAACCCGGGCCATCGTTATTGTCATAGCTAAGTATGAACATCATTATACAGGCACTTCTAATGTAGCGCCATCGCCGCTGGCGAATCGAGGCGCATGGCGCATTCTAGCTCAATTCCTCAAAACCGAAATGAGTTATAGTGAGATGGAAGAGAAACTCTCATTGTACCTCGGCGATCAATACTCTGCGGACGATTGGAAGGATGCCAAAACAACGCTTTTCTCTGGCGAAGACAATGTCGGAACATGTTTGAGAAATCTCGAACTCTTAAGGCAGAGGTACATGCCCCGTCGACCCCGCCCTGTAAGTGGTTTTTTTCACATCTACTGAATGCATACTAAAGAATTGTAGCGGAAGAATATGTATCTCGACATTGAAGCAAACGAGGGAGACAGTGAAGAGGAGGAAGAGGAAGATGGCGACTACGACACGCAGGATCAGGTTGACTCTTCTGCTCGATCGCCGAAGGTTACGTCCATTCCAGGACCATCAGCCAAGGATACGTTATCCAAAAAGATTGATGAGATCTACAACAACGCGACAAAGGTCTCCAGCTCCTCAAGAAGCCGCATCTCTTACAGAGCCGCCTGGTCCCCCGCGACGCTCGAGAGTCGAATGTATCTGCTGCATGTCCATAGTATGTCTATTGGTTCATCGTGTACTATGTTCCTCATCACTTCCTAGGAACTGCTACGGTTTATATTGCTGAATATCTTCATGGTAAAGGATTCCCCGTGACCGTGTCGCCTTGGTTGCCGGGGCAGCTCTACGTGGTCTCAGATAGCCCCAAAACCATTGCATCCTCCCTTCCGGCTTCGCATAAGCTCTCAGTAAAAGACTATCATCGCATCTCGGATGAAGAACGCGTCGCGGTGGAACACTCAACCATCAAATTTCCTAACCCTTCGTGGGTAAGAGTCAAATCTGGCATGTACAAGGGCGTCATAGGCTATGTCTTCGACCCAGACCAGTCGGACCTTTTTGTCGATGTCTTAGTCATCACTCGAAAGTTTCCCTATCCAATGCCTGCGGGATCTGAAGCTCTGATCGACCATTCTCGCCTTCCAAAGGACAAGGAAGTTACCGATATCATTCGCAATGGCGAAATCATAGGATGCGCATACAAAGGACAGCGATACTACAGGGGACTGCTCCTTAAAAAATTCCACCGTTATCAACTAGAACTTGTTGCTTGCCCCCACGCTGATGATATTAGACTGCATCTGCAGTCAGGGTTTGACACACCCTTCGTCAGAAATCTATCGTGGCGTTCTCCAAGCATTTTCTGCGTGTGGAGATGCGGTTAGGATCATCACGGGAGCAGTACCATCAGAGATTGGCACGGTCCGTGTCGATAAGACCATGGTTTTGGTGGCTCCGCATGCATCGAATTAACCCTCGACAGACATCGGGAAGAGCTGGAAGCTCGACTTGAGGATGTGGAGCGCGTTTTTTGGATCGGGGACGCGGTTCGGGTCGTAGCAGGTTCATACCTGGGTTTAGAAGGCCATGTCATTCAAATGGACAAGGATTTGTTTCACCTTTGCCAAGGGGTCCTCCATGGAGGAGGTAAATCTTTGCGCGAATAGAAAATCTACAACTAACGCTTGGTGCATAGGTGCAATTTCAAGATATTACTTGGATCGTCGTCACCAGACTTGCACGACACAGTCACATCTACCATTGTATCAAACATTTTGAACCTCCCCCTGAGTCTCAATCAATAGAAATCGGAGATTATATAGAAGTTCTTGTGGGAGAAACACATGGAGAAGCGGGGCGTCGTGACCTGGTCTTCTATGGAGGAACTCAGCTGTGGTTCCAGGAAGAGTCTCCTCAGGCGTTGACTTTACGTTCTATGGAGTAATATTCAGGACCTCCAAGTTTTCAGGTTCCTGTGGCATTTGTCAAGTGGACGCGCCTACCCCAGACAGTTAAATTTACCAAGGAAAAAGGTATGACCTCAAGCCTGGAGATGTCGTAAGTGTCGCACGTGGCAGAGTATCAGGCGAAAGGATCGTGCAGAGCGTTGACTTCCCAAAGGGCTCACCTAACGCTACTTTTCTGAGAGTGATCGCTCGCTTGTAAGTGAAATTCAACTTGACACAGGCATATCTGACTTGGAACAGATCGACGTCCCAATTGGATTTGTGATGAAAATACTCAACGTGTCCTTGGATTCTTTCAACAACGTCATCGGCCAAGAAGTGTTCGTGGTTAGAGGTGCCGAAAGGGTTTCCCGAGCCACGTTGTATGGCATTGGCGGTGAGAATTGCACTGTTTGCTATCAATGGGCAGGCGCGCACCACACTCAAATGCCAAGACGTGTAACCAAGTGAGCAGTGCACATACTGTCCTCGTCATTTAGTAATTTTTCATTGCTGTTCAGTACGGAATGAGATTGAATGGTCTCATGCTAGGAGAATCGGACCTAATAGCATTCTGTGACATGCGAAAAAGATCTTACTTGGCGTTACAACCACGAAGATGCATCACGCCCCCTCCTGTCCCGCTGGCAGTTTCCTCCAACTCGTCTAATTCTATAAGCGCAGCTCACAATCCATCATCATCCAATTGGACTGCCTGGAATCTCACACAGGATATCGATGGTGCGAACTTGAATGATCCGTCATCGGGCGTCGATCTCAGCTCATCGACATCCGACCCATGGACTATTGATGCACAGGACATTCAGGATGGCATAGATGCTAGAGCGGAGCAGCTCAAAGACAATGGTGAGTCCGCCCCGGAGGTATCGCAACAACTTTTGCTCATTTTATTATAGGGCCTCTACCTTGGTTCATGAGCAAGGAGTTTTCTTCGCTATTCCTTACATATCACGCAATGTTTACAGTTTCGCCGAGCTTTGATCACGCCAAGTTTCACAAACGATTCGTATCATCAGCCTGTCCTGATCCATTCTGCGGTGCGAACGGGACCCGCACCCGAAGGTTGTGTTTGCAGTATCTTGTACATCCAGTCGTGCAGGTGCTGCGCTTGAACATTACCATATCCCTGCCAAGTACCTGAGCCCAGCTCCTCCACGAAAAAAGAAAACAAGAATGTTTCATTATAGATGGCAATTATTACGGTCAGATTCTGACTATTTCACAATGTAGCGTTGGTAAAAAAAACTGCTCAGTTTACTACTAATGATTCCATTACGATTACCTTACGTTTTGATCAGATATGTCTCGTGCAGCGTGCACAAAATACCATGTAGTACCCATTGTACTATACATCAATTCAACTTTTGGACACTGCGATTCTTATCTGCGTGGTAGTTCATTAATCCAGCCCTTTTCAGGTCATTCAAAGTGGCCATTATGATCATTTGACAACAATGTATTTGTATATCTAACATCCAAAAGAACGGAACATTTGCCAGTGATCCTGCGGATGCAATTCAAGTTCGTCTGACTCCCGTGTGAGGGGACTTTAGAGTGATACTACGCGGTCGTGGATACTAGTACTAATAGAGACTCTACTAGAATAAAGTGCCAGTCAGAATGCCTGCACAAGAACCCTTCCCCGAAAAAGCATTGGAAAAATAATATGGATTTGAACTACTAGTACTAGTAAAAGACTCGGACCCTCATAGATTTGAGTTGATGTCACTGTGACAGGGTGTGACGTTTTGTTGACGATCGTGTACCTACTAGGCACTACACCCGTCGACTCTCGAAAACCTATGGTAGAGCCCAAAAATGGTCAAGGTGTCAATGAGCCCTTAGATATATTTTTCTCACTATCTGTGTGAGAGATGTGGTTTAGAGCTGGGAAGCAGCCTATACAAGATATATCATATATAGCAGCGTTCTGAAAAAGTAAACAAAAATTCAAAATGGAACAGGGGAGGTTCGAACTCAGGCATTCCGCTTGGCACATTCTAAGTTCACACAGAGTCATACCGCTAAGCTATCAGTGCTTGTTAAACTGCTGTTCTTAATAGTATATCATCACCTCTAGGTCATCTCTTCACAAATTTCGCCAAGTCTTGCAGTGCAGGCATCTTGATCAGTGTAATATCTACCATACACAAAGCAGTGTTTCAGAAATTCAAGTTCTATATGATGCTATTTGCATTCAGTATGCTCAGGGAAATGGAACTTGGTGTGTTTTGTGTAGGATACACATAGTGAATCCTAGCTAGGATGTTCATGTGAGCATTTTCATACGTATATGTCAGAAATTTCCTAATTAGGTTTCGTCACCTTGTAACGTGTTGCAATAATCCAATGACAAATTGAGGTCCCAATAGGTTGCAATAAAAGAGTGTGACATTACATTTATGTTACATTCCACATTACAATATTGAGTTTATGTCACAACAGTGATTCCAATCAGGTTTCAACCAAGTTTGCAATATTGACCGTCGGCTTGCAACTGTCCAAGTTGATTTTTTGGTACCTTGAGATCTAGATTCCAAGGCTTATCTAAATATCCCAACTGGGTCTCAACGACGTTGGAATACAAACAGGCAGGTTTCATTCTAATTGAAATATAATTGAGAGCAAGTAAATTCAATTACAAACCGGCACCATCCTCAACAAAACATATCAAATGATACCTACATGTAAGTAGCAATCTGTAGGTAGCGGTCCTACTTCTTCTGAGTTCGCTTTAGTCGGCCTGCAGCCTGCTCACTCGCTGGTCCACTAGATACAGGTGCCAGCATCCCTGCCTTCCTTCCTCGGCCCCGACAACCAGAAGATGGGGCTGTCACTACCACTGGTACATCACCAGGTACTCCAGGAACCTCTGAATCAACAGCCATCACTGAAGGTACAGAGTCTTCATAGGCTGCAGTGGCAGCAGCCGCACCTGCAAATTCAGATGCCACAGGTGGTCCAGGGGCTGGAATAGCCGGCAAGAGGGTTGCAGGATTGAGAGTGGTGGTAGCATTTGCAGGGACAAGCACCACAATGGCTGGTGCTAAAGGGACAATGACCGGTGCTGAAGGAGCGATCATAGGTGTAGTAGGCATGGCCGGTCCAGGAATGTCATTGACAGGGTTGTCATTGGTAGTCATTGGTCCAGGAAAGTCGTCGGATTCCTTATGCCCCGCATTTGTGATGGCCAAACACATCAGATCAGAGGTAAAAACCTTCAGTGTCAGATGTTGTGATATTGGAAGTTGAGGATGATTGCCAGATGTAGGCATCAATCTTTTTGCGGATTGCACAAATATGAGGCTGGTCCTAAAGAGTTACCCACAGCTGCTTGTAGGCCATAAACATGGCAGCATATGGTAGCTGAGACTTCGCACCAACTCCAGCTTTCCTGAATAAAGTGTCGGAAGAAAGGATGAAGATTAACTAGAGAATAATATTAGTCAGATGCTAATCCAGAGGACTGATGATAGCAGAAATAGAACTTACTGCGACCCAACCCCATGCAAGAAGGCCAGGAGTACAGGACATTGTGCCCCATTTTCGAGCATTGCACTTAGTGCGTGGCCAGCCAGAAACATCTACTAGTGAATTCTTTCTGAACATCATGATCCTAATCGCCTATGTAGATTCATTAGCACAAGAATGAAGTGAAGCTTAAAATTACCTTCATGAGTTGTTCCCAGTTACCAAAAACTGTGGACATTGTGGGGTCCATCTCTTGATTTGTGAAAAGGATGGGCGGAAACTTTGATGGCAAAGAGCGGCCACCAGCAGTGCCTGATCCAAGCATCTTCTGGATCTCAGGGATGGTATCCTGCTTCATGAAACTCAGGTCAAAGTAGGACGAATCCAGACCAAAGATGTGCCCTGCCATCAAGCGTAGTTTGCCGATCTCACTGGAGTGTTCACCTTCGAGATGCTGCTCTAGCTGCAATATTCAAATTAGATATCAATTAGTATTTGGTGGGATGGTGAAGCATATAAACTAACGTACCAATGATTGAAAATGAGAAGTTGGTATGAAATGATGGAGGTGATCTGGTAGAAGCGAATACAACTCTGTCACAAGGCAAAGTTCTTTGGCACCCTTGGTTGAGTAATGACTAGGGGATATGATGACGGGCGGAGGGTTTGGCACTGGCAATCTGAGAATGTGATGCTCAGGTGGGAACATCTCAGCAATAATACCATATTTGCAAGCAAAGGTTGAGAGCTCGATGTCAAAGGCCTTCAGCTCGTCAGGAACTTGCGCACTCGAACATCTATGTTGATTGGACGCCAAGACTTTGTTTTTCTCGCCCAGCATCCAATTATTATTCTTGAGAGACTGGTTTTCGAGTTGCAGGCACCAAATGATCTTGAGATGCACAACATTAGAGCTACTAAATCATAGTGAGCGAAGTAAGGCATCATTACCTCCATGTCTCCACCCTGCAAAGAAGCCAATGACTGAGTGGTAATTGATGTGGTCCCTGCCACATAAGATGACAGTACATCTGATTCAGATGCATCATCATACTCTAACTCAGACTCCGAGTCATGGTGCACAATGGGATGCTGAGGCATCACAACAAGTTGTAAGGTCAAGTAAAACATGGTGTGAAAAATATCAATGGACCCACCACAATTTATAGTCAATCTTGGCTGTGCAACTTGGACCAAACACGAGGAAAGAAAACACGAGGAAAATTACATTGTGAATGATAGCCCTGACATTTAATTAAAATCAGCATGCGGGTGATGTCAATATGACACGAGGTAACTTACCTGTGTGGCAGTTGCGTTCTCAGAGGAGCTGATTCATGGCAAAGGTGTTGAGTAATAGCATTGTCGGCAAGACCTGCTCTTGACATAATAAAGAAGATTGGACAGCTGCCAGGCGTCCAATTTAAACAATGACTTACCTGCAAATTGTGCTTCGATGGTGGTGGTACTGGCACAGGCTCGTGTTTTGGTATACCTGGAGATGATGGAGCTGAGACAATGTGTGCCATACAATCCTCCATACCCGGTGGTGTTGGGGGTGATGGCCATATGAAGGCGAAGGTGTGGGGGCCAAAGTGGCTGGAGGAGGCGGGAAGGGATTTGTGGTAGGTGGAGGGTTTGTGGGGCTACAATACTCCAGGATTTGTTGGAGTAAGTGTCATCACAGATAACCTTGGATGCGAGCATGAAAGCGGATATGAAAAGACAGTCACCCAAAGATCCTCAAGCAGTGGGGAAGCGCACTTTGAGTTGCTGAAGGAGGACGAGGGCAGTGAAGGTTACGGAAGATGAAGGGGGGTACTCTGGACAAGCAAACAGATGCATAATGAAGCGGTCAAATAACTGGGAAACCTGCTCATGACCATAGAATGGGTCAGAATGTCTTGTCATGGGTTGAGTGGACTGAGGCTTATTAGGTGGTGCCTATGTATGTATGATAAGGATATGAATATGACAAGTGGCTACTAAAAACTGACCGATGGTTCAGGATGATAGCCCATTCGCAAATGAGAAACACTCTGGGTATTCTGAAATGGCGAAGGGTGGGTAGGTATTGTAGGACCGTGTAATACAGCAGCCATAGTGATGGATGATGGTGAGTGGAACGGGCGGTGTGGTGTCGCAAAGGTGATCTGAAAGTGCAAGTGTGTCAGAGTTTGGTAGTTTTAATTAGTTAAAAGGGGACAGGAAAGAATGATGGGGTATATAATTTGAATTAGGGCAGTGTGAAAGCAAAGAAGGAAAATGAATGGAACCAAAACCATGAGCCTGGACCTGGGATATGAAGATAGGCAATTGGCTTCAGATTAAGATGCAGAAGCTGCAACTTGGTTACAACAGTAAACTCAACCAAACAACTTAGCAAGAAATGCAATCAAATGCTGACATAATCACATTGACAATCCATTGAAACACACCTGAACATCAGTTTCAGAACGTTAGCGGTATTTATATTAGTGTAGGGAATAGTGATGTGCACGGCCCGGCTTGGCCTGAAAGCCGCGGCTTCGGCCTGGCTTCAGACGGCCTTGGCTTTCAAAAACTGCGGGCCAGGCCAAAGCCGTCAATGACGGCTTGGCTTTGGCCTGGCTCGGCCTGAGCTGCAGCCCGAGCACTGAAAACAGAAAATCGTAGACTTACAAACATATCTTGCACTTTCAATGCTTTTGAACCTTGCCATTAGTTCCTGCATGTTTGAACGTTGCGCAAAAAAACACATTGAGATCGGCAGTTTTGCTTTCGTGTGTTGGAGCTGTGTCTGCAATAGGTTGGACATTGACATTGATCGGAATACCATCATTGTCGGCTAAATCATCAACCGGCGCAGCTCATTTGTGCGACTGTTTCGCTGCCAAAAGTTTGGTATCAGTTGTATGATTCACGACTCAGATGGCAAATACACTTACGTCATGGATTGATGCGCGCATCTTCACGTTCCTCACCACCAGACTCATTGTCAAGAATTTCTTGAACGCGAGTCCTCTTACCCTTTTCGAGTGCAGCCAAGCTTGAACCTGATGGTGCAGTGTCACCTGGAGGTGAATTCAGGGATATGCTGGGGGTGGTTTGATCAGCACCAGCGTTGGAAGCATGTCGAGAATCAGGCAACTTCGCAGCCTCTGCTGCATGAAAGGCATTGATAGCCTTGGTTTGTGATGGGAGAGCCGCCTTCTCAGAATGTTGGAGAAGGGTGGCGGTAGGCTTGGTTTGGCGGACCGGCCGGTGTGCACAACATTTGTCATCGCTGTCTGTGTGGACAGTTCCAACCATCAGAGACAAGTAGTGAGAGGCAGATATAAAAAATAAAAATTACCGTCACAAATGCATGCCTTTTGTCTGAAAACGTATGTGATGGTTGTCGCCAAGCTTGCGATTTGAAGTTGCAAGAAACTTGCAAAGGAGGGCATATTACTGAAAATGATGAGTGTGCTATCTGCCAACACTGTGACAAGTGAGTTGTGTCGAGCTTGGAAAGAATGTCTGCAACTCACTGTGATTCTTACCACATGAACATGCACACAATGTAAGTGATCGAAAAGCTAAAATGAGACAGAAGTCAGATTTTCAATCAATGATCGTCAAACAGTTTGAGCTTGGGTGCTGCAGGCACAGTTGACTATAAGCCGAGGCCTGAGCCAGCGGCTTTGGCCTTTCATATTCCCAGGCTAGGCCAAAGCTGTCACCAGGCCATGACTTTGGCTCAGCTCGGCTTGGCCTATTCAGGCCCGGCTTGGCCTGGCCCATGGCCTGAAGCCGGGCCATGCACATCACTAGTAGGGAAAGTGCATAATTCAGAATACATGAAATTAGAATACCCCTTGAGCTAGCTCAACTCTGAGCTGAATTTCTGGCGCCTGGACCTGCAACTATTCCCCAGGATCACATCACCAACAGTAAGTAGCAATATTAGGTGCCAAAGCGGCTGGAGGAGGCAGGAAGGGATTTGTGGTAGGTGGAGGGGTTGTCCTGGACGAGGAGGGAAGGATATAAGTTGGGTAAGGTCCTCGACCTATGAAATCCTTCTTGACCATGTCCTTGCTCCAGATACTGACACATCTCGCACTCCATCTGGTTAATGATTCCACAACCTTTCCCAAGGACATCAAAGAAATTTCAATGATACAAAGTAAGCACTCACAAGAACGAACACATCAGCATGAAGACCCTCCCATAGGCCAAGGACCATGATGGTGCAGTGGACACGCCTGAGGAAAGATCCAGCTTTCTTGCACTTCATGTCATGATGGTTATGGTGGTGTAATCCAGCTTCATGGTGGTGATGGTGAGATTCAGCTTCATGATAGTGATGGACCTGCAAGACATACCCATCAGGAAGAAGCTCCTTGATATCGCCCAAATTTTCCTTCTCAGAGGAACTGGCAGGGATGTTTGGTGTAACAAGTTGCGCAAACAAGGGACTAGGTCCAGGATTCAGAAGCATAAGCATGATCATGCAGATGGTCCAACAGCGCAATCATGGCTGGGACGAGCTGGGATCAGAGGGCTGCTTTATTACCTGACATGAGGCGGGCCATTGTGACACAGCATGGACCCTCTGAATCTGAATCAATGAGTTAGTAACAGGTGCTGCGCATCATAAGATAGAAGAAGACTGTAATAGTAATAAGAAATAAATGAAATTGTCCTAATAATGAGGACCGACATTGCTAATAGTCGAAGGCAGATGCAGGGAAATAAGGAGGTTGGAAGTAAGAGTCACTGGCTGCGGATGTCCTGCATTTGAAGGAACATATCTGTATCAATAGTGTCAACAATTAAAAACTTGTCAGGTCTGCTGACATCCTCTACTATCATACAACCCTGAACAATTGAGTGAACTGAGAAAAACTCTGCAGAAGCCCTAGGCTTTCTCTTAACGTGCAAAACTGAGGGTCTTTGTCCTTTCGTGGACAAATGCCAACCAGTCGATCATACGGTCAAACAAGTGTGACAGGATATTGAACATCCCCTACTGTGCAGGTGAAAATCAACACTAGTTTGCCAAAGATGATGCCAGTGTCGGTCTGCAAGATGATGCAATCATAGTGCGGTGAGCCATGAAACATCGGAGTGTATCAAAGGTAGTCTGTGGATACTTGCCAGTCAACAAGCGACTCAAAATTGACTTTAAGGAATCAATATTCCACGATCTAATTCAAAAGGACTCAGAGTAAGACATATCATATCATTTCGGAGCTGCAAACATCATCAACTCACTATGTCACTCGCAGCGAGTTGAATCTGTCGTCCGGTATGCTGTTGGCAGCAAACGCACAGTTCAGAAAGTCGTTTAGCTTGATCCGAAATCTCTCAAATGCTGGATTACCCTGACTACCTGCCTCGATGTGTGTGAATGACATTGCCACCTGCTTTAAGCCAAAACTGAAATGTTGTGCATCAGTTGGTTCCATCGAGTCAACATCAATATCATCGGTCTCCTGGGGTGCAGTATCGGGTCAGTCTTCTGAGTTGGATTTGCTGAGATTCTGAGTGTCAAGGTGATCCAACTTGTTGCAAATGTATTCCACAATCAAGCTGTCATGGTTGTATCAGAGGATCTTAAATTTTTAATTGTTAGTCATATATCAGAGCTCACTTCGCATATATGCAGACTCAGATTCAGAAGTCACTTACCTGTTCAGCGAAGTTTTTGGAATTTGTACGATCTTGATAGGCATCTTTCAATGGGCCATGCATTTTCTTATTCGGCTTGGTGCTGTAGTTTTGAAACACCTTTTGCCTCAATATCATCAAAGAGATGGGCAGAAAGATGTTTCTTGAGGAAATTCCAGGACTTCTTGGAAATCTCTGCTGTATCCTCAATGTATTTCTGACCATACAATTGGATTCATCACAATAAATTAAAACTAGACTAGGGATATGTACATCCATCAATTCAGTGAGCTTTGACAATGCTTCCCGGCCATTTTTGATGGTATCTTCAGTATGGACTTCTAACGAAGCATACATATTAAACTCTACATAGTTTCGGATACAGCAGAGCAGGAGATATGCCTCTGGATCCGTATCATGGTCAAATACATTATGCGCTGCAACTACAATAAGCTAAAAAAATGTGAATGATATATCAAAGTAAACGATCTAGGAGACTCACCTTAGAGATGTCTTCATATTTTGTTCCATCAGAGAACGATACTGGTATAACCTGATCAAAGTGATTCAGGTTTCGCCAATGCGGAATTGATTGAAAGCTGACAATATAATTGAAAACCTACATAAGTACAGCAGAAAAATGACTCACAAGCTGTCAATCTGGACATCAGCCTGTCGACCCAAACATTCAACCCATTTTTGCAATTCAGGTCACTTGTGATCACTGAACAATCTCTTGTCATTGAAGTGGAGTTTATCATGCGATAGAGCCCTGTGAACGTCGGTGTGCTCCAGAATGCCAAATGAACTCTGAAAATGAAAATAAAAAGAGTAATAATAGACTGAGTGAGATAAACATAAAGATAAGAGCAAGACTTACATCGACATCATGGAGGCTCTGAGAACTCAAGATCTGCTCTCTTGCCTCCAATGTAGTAGATTCTCACGCTCAAGCAAGTAATTCCTTGGTTCCTGTGCATGTGCGGAGAGGATATACCTTGAGAGTATTTGAAAGCTCATCACAAGGTACTAGACAGATAGGACAAGGAAATTTGCCCATCAAACCATGAATCAATGCCATTACAGCCCTACAACAGTGAACACATTCAGATGTCAGAGATATCTAATGGTACCTCAGGAGCTAGAAATACATGTACTGTTCTTCATAGTCTGCAGATAGTATTAGTACAATTGGATAGAAGACACGAATAAGATCATCCCAGCATTTTACGGAAGAACCAAACCTCGATAGTGGCACCAGACAGTCAAGAATCTTCATAAACGAGGCATGCCATACCACATTCTTGAAGTTGACAAAGGCGGGCTTTCCTGAATGTTTCTTATCTTCCTTTACCTGTCCTGAGTGTTAATAATGAGACCATCAGTAGTAAGAAAAAGTAGAACAAACAATAGGCAGCCAACCAACAACGTGCCCCCCACCCAAGCCTTCTCCATTGTGAATCGCAATAGGAAGATTAGCACAGCGAGTGACTACAGGGTAGCCTTTTGACCGTATGATGACACTTTTGCTTTGTTGGCATATAAAATGAAAGCAAGAGGTTTTGCATCTGGTGGGATTTTTGACTATGATGATATTCAGTTGGTATATACAGTGCAGATGCTTAACGTGATATTAATAAGAGCGTGACCTACCTGATACTCCCAGATTGCATTAGTGGTCCATGGTTCATGAATGAATTGAACAAACTTCTTGCCGTTGAACTTTGACAGCCTTGGCGCATTGAAGACAAAGTTCGGACCTACTTGTGGATCTTGAAGTAAATTGGTGACCCAGTCCCACAGTGAATGATGAAATAGCAAAAATGTTTGATCAACACCTCGGAAGGGCACAATCACTTCCTCCTTTGTAAACTATTATATGACAGAAGCAAAAATAAGCATAGTATATACAAAGTTAGTGAATAGTACACACAGGTGTCATCTTGAATGACGCTGTGTCCCATGTGTCTCTTACATCTTTGCAATTCTTGAGGGTAAAGAGCTCAATCCTGCTGCGATGGATGAGGTGAATGAGCCCATCCAGCTGCTCATGAGAGAGTCCAGCATCATGAGCAAGTTCCGCAACCTCAAAGTCAATACAAGTGCGAAACGGCTGCCAGGGTGTAGGATCTGCTTCTGGAACTACTGGTGGGGCACCAGGACCATGTCCATAGTCCTCAAAGTGGTACACTTTGGTGGGTCTACCACTATTGGGGTGGTATTCCACTTTGATATTGTCAATGTTGTGCTGGGGTGCAGGCGATGCTGTTCCAGATGATGGTGGGTCACCTGTATTGATGTAAGTTGAAAACATGATGATACAAAGAAATGACAAAGACATACCATTTGAATCGGTCCGCCCCATATCAACATCATGTTGGTAGTCCATCTGATTATTGGGATAAAAATCATCATCCTCCGAGTGATTGTTGATAGCTTGCATCAATCCCCAACAAGTCAGTATTAGTGATTGAGGACAAATGAAAGTGATGGCTTACAAAGTGTTGAACTACTGATGGATGGATGTCTGCCAACAAACACACTACCCTGATGTGCCTGTTCTCGCTCTACAATTAATTAACATTAGTGTAAAATCAAAATGATGCTAGTATAGACATCCCTTGATGAATGGCCCTAGCAAGCTCTAAATTCTCTCTCCTTTGTTCAGAGCACCTCTGGCAAGCTTTTTCGTGTGCTCGGAATCCTTGGCGATGAAAGGATCCGCCACAATAATCACAGGATCATTGCAAATCAGTAGGCATCTATATTGAAACAGGGACAAAGCAGGGGGTGCGGCACTTTGATGGAGAAGTGCTGGAGGGTGAAGTTAGGTATATAAAGCTTGCAGAATCTGAAATATGTAAGTGAATCAGCGGACCAGTAACATTTAAAAGGCACAGATCTGTCAACAAATTAGAACTGTAACAAGTAGAGCAGAAGATACCAACAAGGGCTGAAGTTGTTGATGAAGGGGTGTTAAGAGGTTGGTGCAGCATCTGAACTGACAGTTGGCTACAGTGTTGTAATTAACGTATCATCAAGGTCTAGGTCCGGCATCAATACCAGGACCTATTAAAATAGGGACTGGTTTAGCAAATGTACTTGGTCATCAACACCTGAAAACAGGCTGACAAAAGGACTGGATGAGACTGAGGTGAAAGGGTTGGATAATAGAAGGGGTGAGGTATGATATTCCCTAGTTGAGGGATGCGGATAATACTAGGACTTCCCAACCAGGTTGAACTGTTCTACACTGAGTTAAAAGAAAAGGTAGACCAGGGCAATATTACGAATCAGTTTCAATTGAGTTTCAATGATGCAACTTTGGTATAAACACACACCTGCCCCGCCTTTGGCACAGATCACCAAAAAAGAGTGCTTTGTACTCTTTTTAAGCTCCCTGGCCTCAGCTTCATCCTAATAATTCTGAAGGCTCCTGATGGGCATTGGCTGCATCCTAATAAATTGTGTATTTTGAATAATTTTGAAAATACATTTATGATCATTTCAAAAAAAAAACTAAAAGTCAAATCTACCACACCATGTAAAAGTACATAGTACATAAGATCAGTCAGTTCTACATTCTTTGAGTGGGATTTTGACAAAAGTAAAATTACAAAATATGTAACAGTATTATTGAATGCATTTATTTTCCCACTTTTCCTGCTTCCCGTCTCCCGTCTCCCGTCTCCCGTCTCCCGTCTCCCGTCTCCCGTCTCCCGTCTCCCGTCTCCCGTCTCCCGTCTCCCGTCTCCCGTCTCCCGTCTCCCGTCTCCCGTCTCCCGTCTCCCGTCTCCCGTCTCCCGTCTCCCGTCTCCCGTCTCCCGTCTCCCGTCTCCCGTCTCCCGTCTCCCGTCTCCCGTCTCCCGTCTCCCGTCTCCCGTCTCCCGTCTCCCATCCTCCCAGTTTCCTGTTCCCAATTTTCTGTCCTCCCATTCTCCAGCTTTGTTTCCTTTTGATTTATTTCTTCACAACCTTTTGTCATTCATTTCCCATCACCACATATATGTGTTGTCTCCCTGTCTGCAAGATTGTATCATATGTTGTTCCATTTTCAGTTTTATTATTTATTGTATGTATGTACCATAAACAATTACAACAGTGTGTCGAGTAGTGCGCGGGTAGCGGCGATTGAGTTGGCGCTCGAAAACACATGACAAAGCCACGTGAGCTTCCAAAAAGAGGTTTAAGCGAGGTAAGCGAAAACCATGTGGCCTTAGGCGAATCTAAGTGTATCTAAGTGTATCTAGGCGAAAATCACATGGCCCTATGCGAAAACCACGTGGGTGCCCGTGTGTTTCCGAAACTGTTCTCCCTTTCTTCTTAAGATATCCCTATTGAGTTTCAATGATGCAATTTTGGTATAAATATCCCTAATGGGTTTTAAGAATAGAACTCATGTGTCGATATTGTGACTCAGTATCAATACAGTTGAAACCGAGTTTCACAGGCACGCTGTTGCAACCAACTTATGACATTTCTGACAAATGTTCCTGTATTTTATGTCTGTCAGAGGCACTATGGTGCAGTGGTAACTATCTCTTGTTACTTCCCTTGTGGTATTCCAAGTTCAGTTCCTGCCTTAGGCATTTTAAAATGCCACAAATGCCACTTTGTTTTGGTTTATTTACTACATTGCTGGCACATTTTGCACAGAACAATGTAGTTTGCTGATGATTGTGATGATCTAACTACTTAAAGGTCTCTTCCCTCCTTCATTGTTCAAGACAACTTTCAAAGCCACATGTCTAGTTCATTCTCTATGTAGGAATGTGATAGACCTGCACGCGATCTCTGAGTTTGAGAGGAAGAAAAACTAGCGATCAACGACATACATTACACAATACATACTTTGGGTCGTGCTGAAAATTGAAATATCATACTGCGAGGTATAGAAGGATATTCACAGAGGTTTCTCATTCCGAGTCGACCTCAGGATACCTATGCATGACGTGCCTGAGCTCCATGTCTGGAACTCTCGGTGTAAACACGATAGGGCAAGAGGCACGTGGTGACACCAGACCCATGAAGCCCATGTCATTTAATGGCTTCGTATGATCTAGAGTGAGCTGGAAGGCCCAAAACAGAAGGATCGAGTTGATCCACACCGATCTGCACCGCTCGAAATGAGCTCAAAGGATTATGTACATGAAAGGATACATTCACCTGTTCACAAGGTGTATGCCGGGGCATACGCTGGGGTAACAGACAATCAAATAGAATATCTCGAAAGATGACCCTGCTTACCGCCGACCAACCCATAAACACAAAATTTGGAGGTACTATCTTCCACCCCTTGCAACCAGTCCGAAAGAACAGATGTCAAACCGCCAGGGAAATGAATATATAGTTTATTTCGAGAAATGGGACCATAAGGACATAGAACATACACAGTAGGGGCACATCGGACAGTCCGCAGACAGTGAAACAAAGTGTTTGTAGGATGGTAGGAACCAGTAAAAAGTTATCATGAACACTAGTTCCGTAACTGCTGTGGTTAGACCCTCATAAGGACCACACACTCGAAGCAAAGAGACCACACAAAGATGCCTGGAGATATTTCCTGCAGAATCCATGCTCTGAGGAATGAGAGGCAGAGCGAGTATGCATGACTTGTGAGGCTTCCAATACTTTCCATGACATCGTTGATTGAGACCGAGCTGGAACAGCCTTGGAACCAAGGATTGCCTTGGTTCGACAGACCTGAGCTGGAACAACAGAAGGGGAAAGGATAGCAAAAACGACTATGAGTTTGTCACTCGTTGAAGCACGAGTTTCAGCGACATAATCATCATGTGCCGAACCCACTCTGGAGAACCAGAGAGGTGCAGTGACTGTAACATAGCTTTGTCCTTAGCATCATCAGCTGACATGTCCTTGAACTCGATGCGGTCCCACAGAACGAAGGCATCATCCCACTGGACACGGATACAAGCATCTGTGCCAATAAAGCCTCTAAAATTCGTGAAGCTGACCGCGCGCGTTGGGTGAGAGGATTCGTTCCCTTCTTGAGTAAATCAAGAAAATTCAAGGCTAAGCCACCTCATGTCAGACAACTAAACATTTTTAACATCTCAACTGACCTTCAAGGGGTACAATAATGATTTCATCACGTCCATCTCTGCACCATTTCTTCACCTGGTGGAGGGCGTGTACTAATACGCTCGCATCGACCACTACTATATCTGCATCCTTGTCACCCCTGACCTCCTGGCTCGATTTCCTGGGCTTTTGCACCTTGGCTTCACTGTGCTCTCTTTCAGGTACAGCTTCAGCGACAGACTTCTTCGCAGACCTATTGCCTGAAGATGGGCGCTGCTTGGGTGTATGATTGATAACACTGCGACGGTTGGTATTACCCAAGTCGGCTTGCAGATGACAATGATCTCTCCAGTTTCCAGATGCTGGTCCACGTGTACCGATCCGGGTGTGCCAGTGGCTGCATCAAGCTAAGGTTCATCAATGTCGCGTCACATGTGTGTCATGCCGCATCAAGATAGCTACTTACTCAGCATATGCTATTCTACAGTTAATTCGATTGGTCTGCCTAGGGAAGACTTTTCTTCTACTACCATGAGCGCGTCTCTGAACGCTCAACCAGGTATGAGCTCGAAAACAAAACCACATGTCATCATCATGATCAGGATGGCGGGAGCTGGCTAGTGATGGCCAGGTCCGGTTCTGAACCGCGGTTTGAACCTGAACCGTTTTGAACCTGACCAAAGTCCGGTTCAAGGTTCGGGCAATAGGGAAGACCGAACTGTTGGTCCGGTCCGTGGTTTGGGGACTTGCAGAATTGCAGAACCAGTTCTGAACCTGTTCGAACCGATGGCAAGTCAGTATGTAGTTTTAGTGTAGTACTTATAGGCAGAGATGATGAAATGTTTGGTATCCATATCGTACATAATGCGAAAAGAACAGTTCAGAATGCATCAGCATAAACGAGGGTAGAATCACCAGTAACTGTATCATGGGCACTGGATGAGCTGTGGTGGCGGTGGAATAAATGCCTGAGAAGTGTGCTTCTTTGCGGTTCTGAGGAGTGGGAGGTGGATGTCGTTGGACCGGAGGTCGTGTAGCATTAGCCTAGTGTATGTATGTTAAGCCCAACAAGATCTTTGAATGAAGGTGTTACATACATGGAGTGCAGATTTGTTGGCCTGGCATTGCAAGTCATCGCACCAAAATTGGATTGGGGCTTATAGGATCGATTGCTATGACATTGTTTAGATGTGTGCATGCAGACAACTCATGGGTCTGACCGGTGCTGCACTGCGCACCAACGTTGGGCCAAGAGTGACGAAGTGATGTTGTGGGGGAGATATGTTAGCCTTGAACAGTGCACATAGCCGTTCATTTGGTTTGGTTTTGGGGTTCAAGTTCACGATGCCAGCACACTGAAGGAAAGCTATAAAAAGTCTTTGCATTGTCAATGAACAGGCAACAAAAGCTACACTGATAAACCCCCAAAGACATTGAAAGCACCAATCTATCCAGCAGCGCAATATCATGTACACCGTGAGCCTTGCTTCTTCCACTGCATCATCAGTATAGTTATCTTGACCTTCGTTCACAGGTCACTGAAGTCCCTGTTTCTCAGCACTGCGGCTCGAACAGCTGCGGAGGTGGCAGCTCGTGAGTCGCGCGGTGATTGTACTCCTGTACGACGCCTGGGTCTGATTCAGAACATGCAGGTGCCAATGCAAGCCAGGAGAGTGCAAGTGCTGAGCATGAGTACTAAGTGAGTTAGCATTTAGTAAGATAGGGCTCTTGCACAAACCACCAACATTACGTGATAAAGAGTGACTCTGGCGTGATTTTGGAGTATAAAGTTAATGCCACTCGTAAATCTTGATTTTTGGAAAATATATTTGTGCAGTGTTCTGCAGATTTGTATTTTAGACAACCCTGCGCAGCTGGATTTTTTGAAAACTTGAATTTGTGAGTGGCATTAAGAAAATGAAATGTTATGAGCTACGGAACGTAGGTTGTATGCGTGACATGCAGGGGAACTACAAAAACGGTATACCATTCATTCTGCAACTCTTCCAGGCGCAAAAATGCCCCAAAGCAAGGCAGGCCACCTGAGTAATCTTCATGGACATGCTGAAATAAACACTAAGAGGACCAGGGTCAGCAAAGCACAGAAAGAAGAGAACGAGACAGCCGGAATCTGACATTTTAGACTATTTGTTTTTGATCATTATTCACTATGTAATCAGCAATACATTTTACCTTTCATTGCATACACTAGTATCTGATGGCATAGTTCATACTGTATGGATGTTACACTACATAGCACTCCGAGATTTGGTCGCCACCACTTAGAGGTCACATCAGGTAACAGTCAGTCACAATGTGTCACACATTAGTGGTTTGTGCATGAGCCCTATCTTATTATATGATGCATCTGTTGTTGGGTGTGTTTCAATATAATTTTTCTTGAAGAAATTTCTATTAGTTTGGATGGTCCGGTTCTCGGTTCGAACCCTCACTGAACCAGAACCGGACCATTTTCGGACCAAACCGATGGTCCGGTCCACGGTTCTCCTAATTTCCTGGAGAACCGGACCGAACTGGACTTTTCCATCACTAGGGCTGGCAAGTCCACCTTCGTGCAGCGCATTACCTCCTACCTCCACTCGCAAAATCCTCAACAACCGCCATACATCCTAAACCTTGACCCAGCGGTTACTCATGTGCCATTTGAGGCCAACATTGATATCCGGGATACTGTAAACTACAAAGAAGTCATGAAACAGTGCGTGCTGTCTCCATTTGAACGGGAGTGCACGAATAACTGAATGGATCAAAGGTATAACCTAGGACCGAACGGTGGCATTTTGACTGCCTTGAATCTTTTTACGACGAAATTTGACCAGGTTCTGGAGTTGATCGAGAAACGGGCTGAGACAGTCGAGTATGTGCTTGTCATTTTTATTTTGTATTCGCTCTTACATGCGCTCACGTAGTCACATAATTCTTGACACTCCGGGGCAAATTGAGAGTTTTACTTGGTCAGCATCTGGTGCTATCATCACGAATGCCGTTGCTTCCTCATTTCCCACTGTGGTGGCGTACATCATCGACACCCCACGGACGACAGCTCCAGTGACATTCATGTCTAACATGCTGTATGCCTGCAGGTGAGTACTGCGTGGTCTAGCGGCTTACTGATCCATGACGCTTTATTAGTATTATGTACAAGACAAAATTACCATTCATCCTGGTCTTTAACAAGACGGATGCACTAGGCATTTCAAGTCGCTCTTGCGTCCCATTTAGGATTGAGGGACTCTGAAGGTGGACCGACTTATATGAACAGTTTGATGAATAGCGTGAGTCTCGTTTTGGACGAATTCTACAAACACCTCAAGGTAATTATATTTCATCATGCTGTAGAATGCATAGCTGACTATTACAGGCTGTCGGCGTCTCAAGTACAACAGGTGCCGGTATCAAGGAATTTTTCGATGCGGTGGAGGAGTCTCGTGAAACATATAGGACGTACGTTTTATCTTCATTGTTCTCCTTGCTTTTTCTACGTCTTCAGTGAATATCTCCCAGAACTTGAACGCGCCCGCGCGGCACGGGAAAACTCACTGCAGGATATAAAAGAGGACTCAATAAATCGCCTGATGAAAGATCTTGCCGTTGATCATGCAGCAAATCCCAAGGCAGCCGCAGAAGACCGCTGGGCGTCAGACGAGGAAGATGTCGATGATGACGACGAGCTGGAAGTCAACCTGATCGATCGGAGTGAGTGACTTGCCAGTCCTTTCGTTCGACTTCTGAAACAGTTTTACTAGGTGAAGAACCATATCCTGGCCAATACATCGACGTCACGCGTATGCGAGGACACAGTGAGAACATAAACTGGCCGAACCCGGGATGAAATTTGTCATCGGATACGCGTTCCATTCAACGTTGACATAATGTACCCTACCATTGGTAACTTGAAGTAGAAGGAGAACTCCGTGATATTTACATTACTAAGTACTGTCAATTTCGTGCACAGCACTGATAAGCGCATTATCAAATAAACGTGTCAACATTACAACAGGCAAGATGAAAGATTTGTGTGATAACATGATAGCTCACCCACTTCGATTGCACGAGTTGTTCACGACATGATGATCTTGTGACAATTGTCGCATTGCCGCATCTTCATTACTCTCGTTTATAGCTGAAACACCTCTTCCTTGATGAGTGTCGCCTCTCCACCGAGTGATTCCGCCGGTGAATGGAGTCTGCGTGGCAAGAGCATTAATAAATTAAATGGTACCCTGCGCTCACCATGAATTTTATAGCGCTGCAGTGAAGCGATGACGATGGTGTCACAGGAAAAATCTGAGTTCATGGGAAGGTGACTCTATTGTTAAGCCTTGACAACCAAGTGGCAGTGACCATGAATGCTTGCTGATATTATTCCAGCACTCGAGAGCTCCGGTCCGACGGTGCTCCTTTGGAACAAACTGTCTCTGCCGATGTGCAGTGAGCGATGGAAAAGTGTGAGCGCCTTCATAGCAAGTACGAAAGATAGTAGAATTTAGAATTAAACACTGAGGCCTGGGGACCCAGGTTGATGGAATATGTAGTACTTACATACATTAATATTGTCAAGCAGGAAATAATACGGTTGTTGCAATGAATATTTCGCGGTGAGAGTGACAGCAGTCGCCCAAAACACGTCTTGTGTAGTTCGGTGAGGAAACCCTGCAGTACTATGAATGGCGTGAAACTGCCGTAATTGGTCATGAACATTATACTACCGCTTTTGGATGTGTGGGATAGGATTTTAGTGAGTGACGGTGTACAGTTGCGGACAAGCAAAGTCTGCAAATTTTATGGGGCCTGTTGGTGATTTTTTCAGGCCAAACTGAAGCCGGATCCAAACTCAGGCAGTGAAAATACGTCTAAAAACACTGCTCTCGTATTTTTCCCACAAGATTTTTGGCGCGCCAAATTTTTGAGCAATTTGAACAATGTTGTGTACCCCTTTTGGGGGTCTGAGAGTGATCCAAGGTACCCCTCTGCACCAGAATTTGGTCAAAATCATTTGTGTAAAACTTAATTCACCTCTTTGTAATCGAAAGTAAGTCATAAAGAGTAATAATTCCAACATTTTTGGGAATACTGGAGGCAATTACATCAATACTTGCCAATTTTTAGCACTGAAATGCCTTGAGATTCTGTAGATATTTTGACAGAATCATGTATAGGACATTAAAAGGAAGCGATTGGCATATTTTTCGTAAATTTAGCGATTTTTTTGGGGGTACACCAAATTTTTGGCCTCCAAAACCCTCATATGGCAGTTTTTTTAAAATCTGCTCGTGCAAATCAGTTGCTTTGGTCCCCTATGAGTAGATTCTGCACTAAAAATGGGTTTCCGGTTATTTGTGGCAACAGGAAAAATCAATCTTTGGCGGTGTCCAAAATTGGTGGTGTTTGCTTGTCCGCAACTGTAGATACAGATGGCCAGGTTTTCGTTCGGCCACTGCCAGCGGAGTTTGATTTATATAGTCAGTCAATATATAAACCGCTCATCTTGAAACCTGTGAAGCTTTTCGACTTAACAACTTCGCAACTGAGTATGCAGGCAATAGCTGTAATGTAGTTGACTATGTAGTGTTTTGCGTATAAACGTTCGCTTCATAGACTTGCGAGTCCAGCGAAGGCGGTACTACTGCGCACGCGCCTCAGTAACATTGGACAGTCGAAACTTGATTCTGCAAACTTAAAATGATGAACAAGTACTATGATATGCCAGCCACAATGATAACAATAGTAAGGTGCTTTGCTTCTGTGATCAACAACTTCACAAACCATTCAGACAGATGAATAATGAATAGCGCAGAAATTTTCTGCACCCTGTGCCCATGCCATGTTACGCGAAGCAACGGGCTGTGTCGTGCTGTCTGGTGCCAGAATTGAAGAAGTCGAGGCCATAGGGCGGTATGTGTGACGCCTGGACTCGCGGAGGGAGTTCGAGTCCGAGAAGTTGTCTCGGAGGGAGTGACTGGAGTGTTAGAAGCGCTGGGATGTCGTAACAAGATCTTTTCGAATTGTACTCGACATATCTCGTGGTTGGAAGTCATGACCCATTGCTAATAGTGAGTCAAATTTCTAAATCAGGATTAGATATTGATATGTGCGCTGTAGCTACGTCAATCAGTCTATTGATAGATGACCTACACCTCTCCGAGGATAATACATAGCCGGTACGCAGGCTCTTCCAAAGAATTTTTCTATATTCACTGTATTAAATATTAGCCATTCGCCATTCCACATAGAAATCAGCAACTTGCACAAGTAATGGCTGATTTTGCGCCGGACATCTTCAGGAACGTTCCACACCCGCCCGCAGAGACATTAGCATTTGTGGGGGCCTCCGTAAGTTCTACTCTATGAGCTTTCGTTCATCTAAGCAATCCTATTGCATTAGTGTTATAGCGCCATTATCCAATGGTTAGCGGATATTTTAAAGATGATGTCAGACCAGGGGGAGTTCCCAGCTATCGACCTATCAGTATATCCGCCGGTCAGCGATATATATGACGAACTCCTTCAGGCGGTTGCTCTCCTATTGGCACAGAAAGACGACCCAGAACACCCGGCATTCGTGAACCGCTTGGCGAGCTTTTGTAACATCCTGTGAGTTTACATAAGTTCATCTTTATACTAACAGCTAATGGGGAATGCGTCGCAGTGACAACGATGTCTATCGGATTTCTCGTAAATAATCCTTCCAAGGACAATTGTCTTCCATATTTTGTCCGCTTGGTCTGTTTGGAAATGTACAGCGCTCTGCTGTGTTGTGAACTTTCCTGCGATATCTTAAGAATAAGATCCCAAAGACCACCACCATCACATGACTAAGTCAGACCGAGGAACATAGTACGCGCTATAAGTATCAAAGTCTCTTGTAACATATTGAGTCGCTTACGAACGTTGCACAGGTTTTTTCTGACTTCCAAACAAGGAATTGTGAGGTATGATGACGTTGTTCGTCGGCGCAAATGATTTTCATCTCTAAATATTTTTTTATAGACCGCTACAGTTGCACAGCCACCGCTGACCAAAGCCGTTGATCGGCTTGCAGACCACTATCCCATAGCCGCTGCCAAACCTTCTTGTATGTAAGGCCTCAACAATTGTATGGACCTCTCTTTAACCCTTTCTTACCACTCCACTTCAGCATGTTAAATAGTAGTTCATCGTGTCCTCCTCCCCTCACCACTCCTTCGACAAAACACATTCTTGAGATCGAACACACCGAGAATGCCCTCAAGTCTTGGCTCCAGAAACGGGGACGCGAAATTGTTAGTGGGTTTCCATATTTTTGTGATGGTATCCTACGACATCAACATCAGCTTCCAGATTCCCTCTTCGTCACGGTTTCTGTGCTATTTGCATGGGTCGACCCCCTTGACCTCATAGCTGTCCTACAAGTGAGCCTCAGAGTGGTTGCAATGGAAGAACTCTTCCAGCAAGAAGAGCTCACTTGCGTTTCATTCCTTCTGCAAGGAGGGCGATGCTACATGGAGGAGAGGATGTATCGTGCTCAGATGGAAGTCACTTTGTTCAACAAAGCTATTGCGAACTTGTGCGAAGAGTTTAATACGAAATGTCGCCCATGTAAGCCATACTGTTCGAGAAATGACACTTGAATCACAATTTCTTCCTAGCTCCAGCACCCCTGCCAAAGTACACTAGCACTATAAGTGCATGCCAAACACCTCGCTCGGACGAATTTGAAGGCTTTCGGCTTCCAACTGCTGCGCATCTCAAATGCCAGCAATGGCTTTCCACGTCATCGGAATTTCTAGTGGATTTCCCGCAAATTCAAGAAATTCCCCAGCTTTACGAAAACGTCTTAAGGGTGAGCGCTATTCATATTACCAGACTCTGCATTCTCATACTATGCAGCCCAATGATCGATTTCTTTCGCTTCCTTTCTTGATGAAGTCTTGGGTTGATAATGTCACATATCGCGCCTACATCAGCACATCCTCTGCCGACTGTGCAGACACCAAGCTCCTAGGTATTGGCATTGGCGATAGCCTTAAAGCAAAGAATGAAAAAACCCCGGACGTCCTAAAATCTGATTTCCACATCTTAGAGTTGAAGAAACATCGCGCACAAGCCGAAGTGGAGATGTTTTCTGAAGCCATATCACGCACTACGGGGCCCCGGTTGACTGAGAATGGTGAGCTTGCAGCTTTCCTTGAAGTTTCATACTAAGATAAATGTAGGCATGTGCTCATCTCATGGCTCTGACGGGACATATGAATCATGTCTACCTGACAATTCTTTTGATGATTGGTTTGATGGTTGGTTTGATGGGTTTTCGACGTCATCTGGATCTTCCAATGCCTCTGCGCTCTATTGAAGCTCTCCTGTAGTTGCAGATCGCCCACTTGAAGTGAATTGTTGTAATGGTATTTGTACATGGACTTGATCTACGCTATCTGTACTGCCTCTGCCGCCATTTTTATCTATTCAATTACCGATTAGCATGTGCTTGGTGTCCGTGCTTCTGACAAGTTTTTGTATCATTCCGAAACATAATTTTATGATGATCCTGGAGCGGGGTTCTCACATGTCGAGGCACAAACGCTGGGCCCGTTGTATCTGTCTACGCCTACGTCTATATACTCTACCTCGGAATAGCATCGCTCTATTTCGGATACCAAGCTGCAGCCCGCCCCCCCTATTTCAATACCAGAATACATTCCCCGGTATAGAAAGCAGCTCCTCGATGTCATTTGTGCTCGCGCACAATATGAAGCTAAGTCTATCGTACTCTCTGCCTTCAATCCTTCTCATGCAGTCACTCTGGTTGGGATTGTAACTTAGATACTCTCCGACCCCTTGTGGAATCCATCAAATAGGGATTCTAAAGATGGTACTAGTGTCGTTGTCACATCGTATTTCTCAACTGTGAGTCCCTCATAGCTCTTTTTGTCAAAACCTTCTTTCTTATGAAATGAAAGTGCGCTTGTTGCCCCAACAATAACTTATGTTGTGCAACAAATCGACTCGTGCCACCGCACGTGGTTGCGACGCAATCGAACATACTGGTACAATCTTCGAGCATATAGGACGGTCTGTATTAGATCTACATGGTCAATGTTCAAGCTGACCAAGGTTTCTTTCAGTGGGGCTGCAACTTCTCGACTGGTTTGTCAAATAAGGTGAAGATCATGTTGATGCCTTGATCACACTGACGAATTCAATATCAGAAACTTATCCTGTGCAGGTCGAGGGTCATTCCTTGGGAGACGTGTCTTAATATTGCCATCTACGGAGGGTTCTTCTGCGCCATCATTGAACCTACTTGCAGTCACTGCCTGTACGCTCATATAATTTCTTTGTTCAAATAACTAACTTATCATCACCTGCAGAGTATATGTGAACGACATTATCAATAGTCGCTTGAAAGCACATTTCCTTCCCCAGCTTATTGAAGGTGATGCAATATATTGAAAGTTGTATCTATATTGAAACTATGAACAGTATCTCGAGCCAGTATGCGTGTGGATGTGTCTTCGATGTAAGGTATATATCTTTGTTAACTTCTCAATACTTTGTGATATGCTTTCCTAGATTGTTACACGATATTTCCCATGGGGAACCACTCTCTGTCGGATGTACCAGGTTCGTCACTCTTATAAGGTTTATTTCAGGTTCTTCCTCTCACTCTTTGCAAACGAGCAAAGTTGATTTCCTCTTAGGGCATTCAACTCTTGGGGGAGACGTAGCTCATTCCAAGCTCGTGGCCTCACGATATCACAGAGTTCTCACTGACCACTGATGGCCTCAGCAAAAGTATGATTGACGAGTACCTTACTGAAGGGTGAGTACTTCCAATACATCATCATCCATAAAAGCTTCTTCGGAAACCCAAAATGAAGAATTTGTGACCTGACCCCAATTATTTGCTCGATTTAGATATGTGACCCCCTTCGTTGAACACGCAGCCCTCACGGTACGACAGCTCCTGGTCATCACTTTCCTATAGCTATAGGTAATCTGTTCGCTAACTCTCTTAAATCCACTGACCGTGGTCGCTCACTTATCCAGAACTCGACAGTCCATAATGGCTGTGTTTCCATTTTCTTGCGTTGGCCGATCTATGAGGGGCATATTGCTTCCCACAGCAGCTGTCATTGGCTTCTCATGCCTCCTGACATACTTCTTTGTATTATACCAGCCCATCGTCGGACCCGGCATTGTCCAGCGTCTAGGCTGGCAAGCTTGGGATGCGGTCGCCACAGTTGACTACTTCGATAAGGAACCTTCTAAGCCAACAGTCACTGGCGACCCAGCGGATGGCCAACCAATTCCAGTCAACGATGATGAGACAGATTGGTGGGAAACCACAAAAAATCAGTCCTGGGGTACTACCGATGATATAGAGAGTTATCCCCTTGACGTATGGGCTCCCTTGTTATCTCACGATACCGGTCGTATGTATGCTCGCCAATTTTGTCAGGGACTTATTTCAATTTCATATTTACAGTGTCTGAAATTGCTATCACGCGTTGTATGATGTCACCGAGCCTTGTCGGAAACCTCTGTGCACCCACGATAACCGTCGAGCAGGATGCCATCAAGGGTAACTGGGTTCGAGTGGACCGGGATCTCAACAAGCAAGCTGGTCTCTGGAATTTGGTACGCACGCACCACTATTTTATGTTACGTATTCCATGACTTACCACATTCACCTTAGAACATCTACTACAGACGGACGCGCCGTCTTGACATACCTCTCATTACCGACTTGCGCCTCCTTCCTGCCAATGAAATTCCTGAACCTCTATCAGATTCCTGGGTAAAAGTAGATCTCTCCATACGCTATGGTGTTATGCGTGCGGAACCAATGTACCTCTGGTACCTCCTGGGCAAAATGATGAATGAAATGAATGCGGAAGAGAAATCCAGTCTCATTACCGAAGTCGACATACTCTTTGGAGAGGATAGGCCTTGGTACGGATTTGAGAAAATAGAGCCTGCCGTAACTCCGGAAAAGGAAGGGCAACTAGAGAGCGTGTATGTGACATACCGCCGCGGCGCGCAATGTGAGCATGAACAGCCTTTATGCCGATAGTGTACTGAATTTGGTCTGCAGCGGTCCCTCAAGCCCATCCTTTACACTTCTCGCGGGACGGAAAATTCAAGATTTTGCAAGTTGCAGACCTGCATTTTTCTGTTTCCAGGGGCATCTGTCAGGGAAACCGATATTGATCCCTGCGTCAACTCCGATAATCTCACCAATACGCTCCTCGGACACGTTATGGACGAAGAAAAGCCAGATCTTGTCGTCTTCTCCGGCGACCAACTCAACGGGCAGGGCACGTCTTGGGATCCTAAATCCGTTTTAGCAAAGTTTGCAGTCGCAGCTATCTTCGGCAATCATGACGAAGAGAACGGCGATGTGAAGCAGGAGCAAGTACGTATGATGAATGCCCTTCCGTATTCTTTGGTGCAGAGGGGTCCAAAAGACATTCATGGTGTTGGAAATTACGTTCTAGACGTGAAGAGTGCTGATGCGTGAGTGTTTCCATTTGAGGATAGCAGAGTGCAAGCTGAGCTCGTTTGGTAGCTCCAAGACATCGCTGCTGACGCTGTACTTCCTGGACTCTGGATCCTACTCGAGCGGTTACTTGGACTGGCTCGGGTATTTCTTCCCAACGGAGTACGACTGGATACATGAGGTCGGTGTCCCTTGATATAATTGTGATCGTTATGTCAATTGCGCTCATATTTCCAAGGACCAAATCAACTGGTTTTTGCAAGAATCTTCCAAGATCCAGGCTATACAGCGTCCGTTCACACCAGACACTGGCAAGGACTTTGGTTCCATATGGAACAGACAGGCCGATCAGATCACGCCCACGACACACAAATTAGCCAAGCCTAATGCTATGATGTTCTTCCACATTCCTCTGTTGGTTCATTCTCATGCCGTTTCTGTCACATTTAAGTTTATCTTTTTCCAGGCAAGAGTCGTACGGTACAGCGGACAGGGACCCACGTACTGGCCAAGTGTTAGACATCGGTCTGCACGATCTGGAAGGATTCGGTGCTGCGAAGAAGAGTGATGGAATGTTTGACAAGGGTTTGAAGAAAGCACTGGAGAGTGGGCACGTTGCAAGTGGAGACATACCCGAAGTGAAGGTGGTCACAAATGGACACTGCCTAACGATTCTCACTGTACTGCAAAGATGAACACAATGTTGCTATCATGCATGCTTTTGTCGACTTTCTAGATTTCAGCTGGACGCTGTATGTTTTTGCAGGCATTCCGCCTTCCTGGAGAAGCTCAGATGATCGATCGCTTCATGCTCAAGTGCGCGGAATGATACATCGCCGGAAATGCTTGCAGGTTTGTGGACATCTGCCTAATTTGTTCGGATTACTTACCTGCCTTTGAATAGATGCTGCCTTTATTCTCGGGTATTCTATCATTATGCTCAATACCGATGCTCATAGTCTCAGATTAAAAATCGCACGACTAAGGCTGACTTCATCAAGGATTACCGTGCTATCAACGATGGAGAGTCTTCCGGATAGATTCTCGTCACATCTAGGGCAACGGATTAGGATGAAAGACGAAGTGTAGATGTCACAATCAACTTGCCCTCGACAGGTCCTGGTCTTACTAATGTGTTGACGAATGCGGGGAGGGACCAGGCATGTGTGATGCAGTCCAATGACATGGCCAACAATACTAAAGTAAGTTGCTAGTCTTACAATTGAACGCTGATTGATATCTTGTAGTCACTATTCAAAACGCTCATGCGTCCTCAATGAAGATGATCTCGTACTGGAGACCAACACTTCAGCGCGTCACGCTTCATCCATGTTAGGCTGATGTTTGAGGTGGCACGGATACTCTTCTTGGCTGGATTGTTTAGCCCACTTCAAACTACGGATGGCCTTGAGATAGCTGATCTCTGCTTGTACGGATTCAAGAATGCCATCCGCATAGTTTACTCCTTCGATTCGGACCTCGAACGCAATGCGCTCGTTAGTACCCTTGCGAAGTTCACGTTCATCAACACTCTTTGCTGAACCCACTTCCTCAGGGACGTGTTCTTGCGGGAGCTCATTTCAAACGCCAATAATACACTCGATAAGCTTCGGTTCGCCGTGGTCACAGAGAAGAGTGTGTGGGATGGTGTCATGATGTGAAAGAGCTTGCTAGTGCATTGTTGGAGTCATCGATGGGCACGGGAATGATAGGTGGATGAAGGGAATGACTGAGAAGCATGGATCCTATTCAGAGACAGTACGAGTCCGCGGTAATCTGAGTAGCTTGGTCGTCCTGCAGTGTTTTGAAAGGCTAACAATTATAAAAATGCAAAGGAAAATCTATGTTGGGCATCAATAGATGTCGAGCATGGGATACCTAGGCGTACAGTACCATGGAAGATAGTTTGAAAGTAATGATTCTCATTGACGGTTAGCGTTTATTCTAGCGGGACCAGCTTCAATGTAAAACTAATACGATATCGACCAATTTAGGAACTTCTTAGCGCCACGCAACTATATCCAGCGGATCCTGGAATCTGGTTTCTCCCGCCTCGTTCGATAAAAACATACTGATGCAACATCTTCTCTCCATCGCTCTATTACCCCCCTCAGGCTCATTCAAATTCTTTCCTCGAGCGATCTCACCTGCCGCTTCCTTACTTATGAAAAATATCTTTGCGACTACTTACCGGAGTTCTCGAAATGCTGCGTGCCCCAAGACACGGCCATCACCTTCAGATATATTTCAATATCACAAGACGTCCCCTCTCGGTTCCCCTCCTGTAACCCGCCGCACTCCTTATTCTACGAAGGCAATACTATTCCAACAGCAACAACGAAGATGTACTAACCACGACTTGGATGTGTCTCATAGCGGTGCGTTTACTACATTATGCTATAGAAAAGCTTCCCTTCCTCACACAGGACCATGCAACAGTGTCATCCGTCCCGGCCATCAGTTTCTTCGTTTCTTTGCTAGCAAAGTCTACCTCATCAGGCGCATGGGATTTCGACGCGTCTTTAAGCGTACTACACAGAACGAAGCGAACGGCTTGGTACTCGCAGGTTGAGGCGAATATTGGGGACTCCCAGGTAAGTACATAGTATATGACATACTCTGCAGGCAGTTCAACGGTTGACGATCCAATAGACATATTCGTTCTATTCTTTGGACGACAACAACTTCGGGAAACTCAAAAATCCCACCATGCTTCCAATTTCGCAGCACCACTATGTCCCTGCACGTACTATACGCGAGATACATCGATCGCGCTCCTTCGGGAAAGGACCAAGGAAAGACGACCAGGCTAAAACCGAGTATGCGCTTGCTTTTGAACAGGACAACATAAAATTATCTTCGTCTACTTAAACGGACCTGGTGTTTACTACTGTCTTACAGGTACTATTTGCGCAAGCGAGAGCATCTCTTGCCACTCTTAATGCGAAGTTACTGAATGTGCAGAAGTTTTTCTTTGGTGACCGGTAAGCAAGACCAGCATGAACACTTTGCCTTTTGCGTTATCTGAGCCCATTATCAGGCCCATGACTCTTAATGTTTACATAGCTTCGCATGTTCTCCTGTTGCTTAATCCGCCTTTCCCGGACCAACTCACGCGAAGCATTCTCATGCCAATACGACCCCTGCGCAACCCTCCCAAAACGATGAAGAGCCGAATGGATGAAGCTGACCTTCGATTTCGACGATGGATATGGTTTAAGTTTGCGCTTGCTTTTGGTGGTGTGGCGTGCTGCATCGCTCAACTCTGTATCAAGGAACCGATGGATTGGCAGACACGGTCAGTGTTTAACTTAGATTGTATATTCTCGACTTTGATCAATGTTCTATAGCTCGGCCATCTTCATATTTGTTTCAAGTACGTGCGCGGGTGGTGTCAGACTCGGAATCAACCAGACCGCAGGAGACACTGTCGATCACGATCGGAACCCATCAAACAATGCGCAGGCCACGTACTATCAGAGTCGCGCTCATTGCCTCGGTCAGACGCGCCAAGTGACTGTCTATCGGCGCTTAATCACGAGGGGCACCATCGACGAGCGTATCATTCAGTTAGAGCATGTCAAGAAATAATTTGACTTAAGCTCGCTACGCTAGTAAAATTTGACCTAAGCTCTCTAATTTTTCAAAACTTGTACATAAATAGCGCAAAGTCACAAAAGTATGCCAGGGATTAGCGCGGGTAATTGTATCAAGAGCTCTACCTATCTTCGAACAGCTTTTGATGAGTTGCACGCGTATGCATTCAAACTAAACGAAAAACATGTACTAGTGACTACAAATTAAATAATACCAACTGGCCCAAGACTTGACAGTGCCGCGTCATAGGCACGATATAGCGAGCAACAAATTACAAGTTCAACATTTGCGTGTATTTGTTTTTGTTTGACTCACGTGACTTTTAGTTTCAACATTCGAACGTTCAACATTGAACACGTCATCCTTCCCTCTTCTACCACATCCTTCCTTCTTCTACGTTGCCCACTGTTCGCAGTTCGTGAGTATGTCGATCCTCGTTCGAGCAACGGCCATACTGATCCAAGTCGTCGGCCACCGTTCGCAGTTCATGAGTATGTCGATCTTCGTTCGAGCGACGGCCATGCTGATCCAAGTCTTTGCCCACCGTTCGTAGTTCGTGAGTGTGCCGATCTTCGTTCGAGCGACGGCCATGCTGATCCAAGTCTTTGCCCACCGTTCGTAGTTCGTGAGTGTGCCGATCTTCGTTCGAGCGACGGCCATGCTGATCCAAGTCTTTGCCCACCGTTCGCAGTTTGTGAGTGTGTCGATCTTCGTTCGAGCGATGGCCATGCTGATCCAAGTCTTTGCCCACCGTTCGTAGTTTGTGAGTGTGTCGATCCTCGTTCGAGCGACGGCCACGCTGATCCAATGCTGCCCAGCGTGCAGATCCCTAAGTTGCGTTCGACCATCGAGCAGCGCCAAGTCAGACTGCTGAGGCCGATTCTAGTCATCATATTGTTTTATAGTAACACCACGCTCATTCCTTACATCTTACACTTCACTGTACTCGTCCTGATACCCAGTTCCAAGTGAAACCTAATTGATCTGAACATTGTGTGATATTAAGCCTCAAAAAACATGTCCAGTGCAGCTAGGATGCTCATAACTTTCAATAGGATGCTACAAAACTATCAATAATTAGCTCTAGGATCGTAAATGTGACTGTCCGTTACTATTCGTGACATGAGTGTGACTCACGAAATAGAGGCCCATCACGAATAGAACCGTAATGGATAGTATCTGTTATGGAACCATGATCAGCGTGAGAAATGTTAGATATGTAAGAAGGTTTGCTGCAGGCGCAGATCAGTTACAATGCATAGAGTTCAACTGTCAGTCCGCCTTCAAGAGTAAATCAAAATCAAATCTACCTCGCACTATATCAAAATGAGATGGCATTAGTATAGATATATATTCATGCATATGTTACATACAAGATGCACATCAAAATGATATTCTTTCATACACATGTTGCACAAATATAATATCATGGGATTCTAATCTAGAGATTAGATATGTCATAATGAGTTTTATTGGTCAGCTCTACCTGGTCATATCTATGTGTGACATTATGTCAATAATATTCAAGGCTGGTATCACACTGCTGTCTGCTTGCAAAACACGCATCAAGCGATGATCTTCTGGCATGTTCTTGTCATATGTTGGATATGTGCATCACTACAACAATAATATCCAAGGCTGGCATCGCACTGCTGTCTGCTTGCAAAACACGCATCAAGGCGATGCTTTTCTGGCATAGTCATATCATATGTTGGATATGTGCTTCACTATGACAATAATATCCAAGGCTGGTATCGCACTGCTGTCTGCTTGCAAAACATGCATCAAGGCGATGATTTTCTGGCATAGTCATATCATATGTTGGATATGTGCTTCACTACGACAATAATATTCAAGGCTGGTATCGCACTGCTGTCTGCTTGCAAAACACGCATCAAGGCGATGCTTTTCTGGCATAGTCATATCATATGTTGGATATGTGCTTCACTATGACAATAATATTCAAGGCTGGTATCACACTGCTGTCTGCTTGCAAAACATGCATCAAGGCGATGATTTTCTGGCATAGTCATATCATATGTTGGATATGTGCATCACTACGACAATAATATCCAAGGCTGGTATCGCACTGCTGTCTGCTTGCAAAACATGCATCAAGGCGATGATTTTCTGGCATAGTCATATCATATGTTGGATATGTGCTTCACTATGACAATAATATCCAAGGCTGGTATCGCACTGCTGTCTACTTGCAAAACACGCATCAAGGCGATGATTTTCTGGCATAGTCATATCATATGTTGGATATGTGCTTCACTACGACAATAATATCCAAGGCTGGTATCACACTGCTGTCTGCTTGCAAAACATGCATCAAGGCGATGCTTTTCTGGCATAGTCTTATCATATGTTAGATATGTGTGACACCATGATAATAATATCTAAGGCTAAAACATGGTGTATAATAATGTTGTTTGATTACCAATTATATCTGGTCATATCAATTTAGGGTCGATTCCCTGATGGATGGTCTGGGTCTGGCAATATGATCGACAGGGGACTATTCAGTGCTCCGGTATCAACTTCATCCAAGACCTCCCACGTTTCATGGTGTTGTTATATGCGTTCCAACGATTCAGTCTTGTCCATTGGGGTCGAAACACGGACTTCAAGCACGATGAGACGAATGATTCTCACAAACTCATGATTGATGGCGTAGATCTCGAGCTTCATACGAGTCACAAAGACAGAGTGGCACACTACGGACTCAAGGGACGCGCCACTAATGTGTTTCCTGTCACTAGCGCAAAACTCTCCAAGGACAACCCAGAGATTGCGAAAGATGGCATGGTGGCTAAAGTCTTTTGGGCGGAGGAGCAACGCGCTAGCGAGCCAGACATTTTGAAGAAGGTCTACGAGATTGCGGAAGAGCAAGATGCCGTGAAGGGCCATGTTCCTCACCTACTATGGCACCACAAATTCAAGGATCCTACGTCCAAAATCAGAGAAGCGCTCGGCGTTTCAGAACCAGCGAAGGGTAGTCGTGTGCTCTACATTCTTGTATTCCGCAAGCTCAAGCCCATTACGGAGCTCAAAGGCACAGAGTTCTTCGACGCGTGGCGGCAATGCATCATGTGTATGTGGCTCATTGTATCTGCCTCTCTCCATTGGTTGAAATGATGTGCTTTGTAGGCCATTATGCTCTCTGGCAAGCAGGAGTCTACCACCGAGATGTCAGCCCTGGTAACATGATGTGGTACCGGAACGGAACCGTCTTCATGGGCGTCTTAAACGATTACGATCTATCCTCGTTGGCGACTGCGCTGGGTCCTCAGGGCAACGAGCGTACGGGGACAATACCGTTCATGGCACTTGATCTTCTCAGCAAAAAGGGCCAACGAGGCGAAGTCAAACATTTGTATCGTCATGATCTCGAGTCGTTCGTGTGGGTTCTCGTCTGGGTCTCCTTGCGTTACAAGGATGGGCGACTATTATCACGGAAATCTCGCCCTTTCGATGAATGGGCAACCGTAGATGCCGAGACTTGTGGTGAGAAGAAGTCATTCTTTCAGACCAACTTTTTGCAGTACGAAGTCTTCGCCGTGGACCAACGTATGTGGGAGTTGGTGATGGATTGTTTACAGTTGCTTAAAGCAGACGCCTATCGTCGAGAAACCATTGAATACAAGAAGCGACGACAGGCAGGAGTCGGTAGGCTGATCATGGCGGAGGAATTAGAATTAGATGACCTCAAATTTCTCGACTTATTTACGCACACGGAGGCCTGGGTTCAGCTCAGCAACAGCGTACAGTGATATTCTCCTCGCTCCAATTACATATGTAATATCACATATTCAGCATTAACGTCATCATTACAAGCTGGACCTCAATCGCTAATTGGCGTCCGACAACATCACTCAGACCAAGACAGGAAGAGATGTGGCGATGGTCCCTAAATTGACGTTCCCATATCCTACGAGCAGCAAGTCGACCTTGTATGTATGTATTGACGAATATACTGAAAGCTGGGACGAGTTTTCTAATCATACCGCGGAATCGAAGAGGGATACAGACTTCATCCAGCGTGGGTCGCTTGAAGGCGTGCACGACACTGTTCACTGATTGCTTGTGGGTGGAATACATTGGTTCCAACTTTGGCTCATGCTTACTCCAGCGATGAGTTAGGGTGGGAATGGACGAATGGTTAGTTGTTTGCGTGCAAGTAAGGTTTGTTGATCTAATTTGCAGAGTCACCCAGACTACGTGAGCAATTCCTTCTGACCTCTGCAATGATTTTGGCGCTCGTCTTCACATAGGCCGGTTTCGATCCGATCTTTTTCCGTGCGTGAACAGGTGCAAATTACCCGTCTGCATTACTTACGTGGTTTGCTTCAGTTCTTCATTCGAATGTGGACAGACTGTGTATGTATGATTTCGTCCAAGGGCGTTGTCTTGTTAGTGAATCCCCCAAGTGGCTCTGTGGGAGTGGTGCTACACCGAATACTGGATGGGAAGCGGATATGAACACGATGGGGAACAATACCCTTGGACACAGGTATGGGCTGGATGATGTTTTCGCACAGATACTGGATAGCTGTCTCTAGTGCCACGCGCCTATAGGCGCGTGGCACTTACGCGCAGGTCTACAACGAACAGCTCCTTCCAGACGGACCACTCCAACCGTTCCGAACGGAACAAGGAAACTACTGGGCCTCTTCTCAGGCTAGGGTGTGACATGGGTGGACCCGGGTGGCACCCGTACCCAATCCGCGGGTGGATGGAACTTCAGAGGCCTACCCGCACCCGTGCGGGTGAGAGTACCACGGGTGCGGGTGGATCCACGGGTGGGTCCGCAGATGGTATGGGTCACCCGCGGGTGACACATTATGAATCGTAGAATACGACATGGGTAGTACTACATAATATCAATCACAGTCGATTTTGCTGATACCAGCCTGCCTGATTCTTTTTCCTTGCCCTTTGTCATTTGAACCTGCACTGACCCTGCTAGTGCAACGACAAAGTCAAGAAGTTAGCATCATTCTCGCCGATACTCAGATCAAATTAATCTTTAGTGAAGCTGGTATTGCAAGTCGTATCATGTCCGCGGCAGGCACGACCGGCCAAAATGAATGAGGCAGTGGACACCAGGTCGCAAAATGAACCGGTTGTTCTTTCAAGACTAGCAGCACGCAAATAGCATGAGTGGAGAAATTTGTATTTCTGAATTGCAAAGAGTGGAGTGCTACTAGAGTCGGTTCAAGTGAGTGATTTATGCGAGAGAACTCACTATCATGAACTACTGTACTATACTGAAGACTGAACCAGATGGAGGTGCGCGCCCGCGGCTGTTTTCGTCGATTGGAGACTGCATTAATGCATCCTTTACATGTTCTCTAATAAAATTTCTGGGTATACATACGCAGAACAAACATCGATTGGACTTCAAAATTTATCACGGCAAATCGGCGAATTGAACCGTAACCTATCGTCCACCATACTTTCGCGCTTGCGCATGCATAGAATTGAACTCGTATGCTGTACAATTGTGTTGGCAATGTATATATGTTGCTTTATCTGTAAGCACTGGAATTCAGGAGTAACCATTTAGTAGACGGATTCAAAGACAGCGGGAGAACTCGCATATCACGAACTATACCCATTAATCGCCCCATCGCCATTGTTTAGCGACGGCGAGTGCAGTTCTAACCATGAACTCGAATGGTGTGATCCCCTGTAGTTTGGCATTCTGCCGGATTCTGCCCACAGAATTCTGCCATCTGCCAGGCAGAACCGGTTTGGCAGAATGGGGGACTTCTGCCCACAGCACTAAACACGCTCCTGCAGGTTCTACCAAAATTTCTGCCATCGAGACAGCCACAACAATTCTGCCTGATCGATCAGAATCATGCTCATGAGTGTATGCACGATATAAAAGCTGGCTGTCGTCCCATAGCGCTCCCCGATATCATTCGAGAATTCCCTCACAAGATTCTTCATCGCCGCCTCGCAGCATCATCTAGCACGGAAAATGCGTTTCTCGTTCCTCGCCGTTGCTATTTCTTTGACAGCGTCTATGATTGTCAGTGCATGTGGCACGCAATATTCAGGTTGCAAAACAGATGCAAATTGCTGCCCGCACTACCAATGCACAAATTCGGCTGTGAGTATGAGCAGGTCGCTGTGCAACCATGATTCAATCACATGACTCACCTGCACGCCTTAGAGAGGACGGCTCTGCGCGTTCAGTGGAAGTTGAGCCGGGGGCCCGAGTGGTACATCGCGACAGTGAGCCATGTTTCTGCTTTCGCTTTGGTATCATGGTTGATGGAGCAATATCTAGTTCAGAGTCAATCAGTGTAGTTGTTTGTGGAGAAATCTTCGTGCTGCTCGAGCAATGTAGATGTTTGAACTTATCTGAAAATGATCGACTGTGTCTAGTCTTTCTCGTGGTCCACTAAGCTCGAGTTTGAGAGGCTGTCGAAACGAGCGATCATTGCCGTTGATGATTGATATCTGGAGGCTGTATGAAGATGGAACATACTGCGCTGATATTTTCTCGAATCTGTTTGTCTGACGTCAGCCTCGAATAGCTCATGGATCTATATCTCTGCGACTCGCCAGAGTCAATCCATCGAGCGCTGCAACGGCTCTTGATCTGGAAAGTCTGCAACTCATCGTCTGCCATCAGGGTTGGGATGTCATCAGAACTCAATCAACACATCTCCAAAAGCTTGTCCCAGTGCAACGATTGGATCTAGGGAGAAGAGAGTTGTGACGGTGATATAAAAGGCGAGTAAGATAGAGTCGCCTTAGGACTAGTAGTGCCAAGGGTGCCTGGTGGGTGTTGGTTTCTTGGGCCTTGCTCAGGGTGCCGCTTGGTACTAAGCCAAGAAGCGATCCGCGTAAGCCTTACCAAGGCCTCGTCAGTGACACGGCCTTTGGTCAGCTTACATCTCAATAAGCGAAGCTAGCCAGAAGTGCAAACTGAGTACGAAGATAAATCTAGTGAAGCTGGTAGTGCAACAACCATGTCACGTCCGCGGCAGGCACAACTGGCAGAAGTCAGGCAGTTCACAGGACGAAATAATTGTTCTTTAAATTGATGCAAATGGCGAAATGGAGTAATTGGATTTCCGGATCGCATTGTCGCAAAGAGTGAAGCTCTGCGAAGACAAATATGAGCGGGAGAAGTTACAACTCACATATCATGTGACTATACATCAAGTCCTTCTATGTGGCTTGCCGAAGCACAAGTAAAATTTCTGCATAACTTAAACTATGGCAAAAAAACGGTTGGCAAGATGATCTAAGTACTAGTACCAACCACTAATTAAGCATGCGCCGGACCGTGGGAATATACAAAAACTTTGGCTACCCTCAGGAATCAGGATCACCGACTTGGTCAAAATACTCATTTTCATAGCCTTACACTTCTAAAATGTCGACCAGCGGGCTGAAGGCGATTGCCCCTGTACCCACTGCGGCAGATTTCTTGGACATCGTCTTGTCCAAGACTCAGCGGAAGACACCTACAGTGAGTCTTTTGAGGATATCATCTAGAGCAATCTAATCATCTAAGACTCAGGCCCGATTTTTGCGTGAACAAAGCTACCCCAAGTGTACGTAGCAACCTTATTAATTGAATCGCATAAGTTTACTTTGAATAGATTATTCGTTTCCCGAGTTTGAAGGAATTAAGGTCGATCAGACTGCCATGACATCCCAAGAGCGTGCCTTAGCGCGCAAAAGGGTGCAAGCCTACTACGATTTTGATCCGCAGACCAAGGCGACACAGGTGGCCTCGCATGCTTGGAAGTATTTACCTGTTCCAAACAAGGAAAATACTGCTGTGCCAAATGATCATACCGTCATCCCTCACTACCGCACATTTATTGTGCATGTGAAACTTCTGGAGCATGCATACAACCACTCCTACTCATTCCAGCTCCACCACAAAGGGATAGCTCATTCGACACAGCTTGTAGGTACCGTCGCAGTCTTTGCGCGGCCGGACCATTCTCCTTGTAAAGCGTGTGCCGCGCGTAGTGAGGTGAGATCCGTAGTTCGCGGAATGATTCCCATCCCTCCCGAATTGACCGAGAGTATCATCAAATTAAACGGAGGCACAGAATCAGGGACTTCGTCCGACCAGACCCTCGCTCACATCAAATGGGGGTTTCTTGGAAGGCTTGTTGATGCTACTGGCTTAGAGCTTGCCGGGGCTGAGGGAGGGTTGCAGGCGACCCAGGTACCACAGCACTGTACCACTTCTCACAGAGTCACTCCCGTAGAAATTTTTCTGGTGTCGGCTGCTGTTGCTGAGCACGTAGAGGACAAAGATCTTCCTGTCTACGTGTGACTGGCCGCACCATGGCGACATCCTAAATGTAAACGTATCGTTCTTCATTTTGGTAATAAGATTTTTGGTAGGGCGGGTGGTTAGCGACTCACAAGGATTAGTGCACTGATGCAGCGCGCCATGAAATACTTGATTACCACAACGTCAAAGTATTTTATCCCTGTACAATATCTAGTGATACATGTCACATGACCCCATTTTCTTTGGATGGGCTGCGTCAAGGACGAGGCGAACGGAAGATGGAGCTGGTGTCCATGAATGTCGGCGGAGGAAGCGGAGGAGATGCCAGTCTGGGATGAACAGAAGGCTTGAACATCAGAACTATCCCGACTGACAGCACTCCCCTTGATATATTACTCATCTGTTCGTGATCCAAGCAAATGTTACTGAAGCGGGTGAGAGCGGAGAGGGTTGGCTGTTTGCTGTCAAGTGTGTCATGTCGCTACTGTGTGAATTCGGAGGTCGCACCGCGAGATTACGTGGTATTGAATGTACTTATCTGTCACAGCCATAAGTATCTGAGGATTGGCTATATAGTAGATGACATAATTAAGGTTTCGTTGCCAGCTGCGAGCAACTTACTCATAAGTATCTCGGTTGGAAACGAATCGCTCAACAGACAGTACTCTTGGATGGTACAAGTGACCCCACCAACTTTCCCGCCGACCCTCGTCGATCTCAGCAGAAATGCATCTGTCATATCATCATCCTCCGAAACTGACATCCCATCTGAATCACAAAAGTCTTCCCGCCCACGACCAGCACGCACTTTCTCTTCCCCGCGTTCCCAAAGCCCACAGCCCAGAATTGCTACTCCCTCCAAACCACCAACTTATCTCACTCGTGAACTCGGAGTATCCAGCCGTCAAGAACTCCCACAACCCCAACAGCAGACCAAGGAGAGGAGCAAGAGCAGGAAGAGATCACGAGAGGCAAGTAGGGCGAGGAGTGCAAATGGTAGACTGGGGGCCCAAGAATTTACTTTTGGAGACACCCTTGGAGAAGGATCTTACTCGACAGTGTGTCCATCACTTATTACCCGCACCCCCTACTCATGTCACCTCAGGTAATGCGTGCACGATATATCCGAACTGGTCAGGAATACGCTATCAAGATCCTTGACAAGAATCATCTCATTCGAAAGGACAAGATGCTCGTTGCCCTCGCAGAGAAAAATGTTCTCGTCAAACTGGGTGCCGGTCACCCAGGTATCATACACCTACACTGGACCTTTCAGGACGAGTGGAGCCTATGTCAGTACCACCTTCTTCTCTGTGCGTGTGCATCCGATCCCGGTTATTGGCCGGCTATTCCTCTTTGGCAGATAGTGCTTCACACTGCCACGCCTGCTTTAGTGATCGGGTGCATGGAACACGCTTTTATCCGCTTTTATCATGAACCCCCTTCGTTAATGTCCTACCAGTCTTCGTCCTTGACTTGGCGTCCAATGGGGAGATGCAATCTCGCATATCACGCCTCGGCTCCCTAAGCCTCACCTCTTCCAGATATTACGCAGCACAGATCGTCGACGCACTGGAGTATATGCACGGGAAAGACGTCATTCATAGGTGCGTTACTCCATCACCTTTCCCGGAGGTTCTCTCCACCTCACCTGGAAAAGGGTACATGTACTCAATTGCTGACGTCACTTTCAGAGACCTCAAACCCGAAAACCTCCTTCTAGATGACCAGTTTCGAATAAAGATTACTGATTTTGGTACCGGAAAGATATTAGAGAACGGAGGTTAGCTAATGTCTTTCGTGTATACGCGTTTCTCACAAGTCCCGAAGCGGACAGAGCCAAAACATTTGTGGGCACCGCGCAATACGTCGCGCCAGAGTTGCTAGAGAGCAACGAGACAAGTAAGAGGTGCGCTTATCCTTCAAAACACATACATATATCGAGTGTCATTACATTTATATTTTCCCTTTCTTCGTTTTTGGCATCGGGAACCCTTGTGTCCGATGTTTCAAACACAACTCATCAATTTACTGATATCTCTTACAGCTCGGATCTCTGGGCATTTGGCTGTATAATATATCAAATGATCTCTGGCCGATTCGCATTCCAAGGCCTCAGCGAATACCTCACCTGGCAAAAGATCAAGTCTCTCGACTACACCTTCCCAGACGGGTTCGACGAAGACGCCAAGGACCTCATACGGCGTCTCTTTGTACACGATCCGACACAACGGCTCGGCGCCGGCGGTCCAGACTCTGCTCACTCATACGCGGCACTTCGAGCACATCCATTTTTCGCGTCTGTATCGTGGGAGACGCTGTGGACCGACCCTGCACCTCTTTTGGAGGCGGGGCTGGTGAAGAAGGAGGTACCTGCGGCAGATGAGGTGGAGGGGGAAAAGTGGAATGATTTAGGAGAGATGTGGGATCGATTAGTGGGTGGTCATGCTGATGTGGGTAGCAGTGGGGATGGTGAGGTAAGTGGGGATGGCGTGGGATGGGCAGAGGACAGTGAGGGGACGATGTTGCATTCATTCAAGACAAGGTATGCGGAAGAGGGCCCGATGGGAGAGAATCCGGATTATCTTGTATGGCAATCAAGGACGAGTGAGGGGAGGATGATGCCGGGGCTGGAAGAAGATCTGGAAGAGACGCAGACGGTCGTTGACGAGCACGAGCACAACACTGCATTACCGGAAATACAGACCTTTCCACCACCAACGCAGGATGGAGCGGAACCTTTGTCACCATCAGAAGTCTCTCCTCTCCCTGCTGAGATCATTCCCCCAATTATATCTGTCCACGTCCGCAGAGTGAACGGAACCGGTTCAGGCTCTAGCTCTTCTGACGGGAGCCCCATCGTTGATAGGGTGGCAGCAGATCTCGACATCAAGATGAGGATTGGCTCAGCTACTGAGGCAAAGCTGGATCCAAGCCTATCGCGCGGACGGAATCGTGCGCAGACTCCGGTACAGGGTAACGGGCCATGTTCGAATGCAGATTGGTGCGTCGTTGATGTACTCAAGTTATAGACACTCCTAATTAGCCATTTCTTTTCTGACCCTTTGCCCTCATAGGTCAAGCCTTCTCTTACTGTCCGAATGCGTCCTATTCCATACGCGCGTCGAGGCTCGGTCGCCGAAGCGCCGTGGTAGTAAACTACGTCTTCCGATTAGCGCGAGCCTCACGAAGACGAAGACGCGGCAGCTGGTGCTTACAAATATGCGGCTGCTATGCGTGAAACAGAAGGGGGGTGGTCAAGTGAGCTTGAAGAGTGAGGTTGGGTTGGGCGCCGGAGATAAGTGCAAGGAACGCGAGAAGCCGAGGGAAGGAAAGGAGAAAGAGCGGGATGCAGGTAAGGACTGCAGAAATGTGATCGAGAGTGCAGAGCCGAAAGGCGAGCGAGAGTTTGTAATTTTGACTGTCAGTCCTTTCACTCCTGTTTTACGTGGTTCACCCTGTTGATGCTCTACATGCCACGCAGTCTAATAGATCACAGACATACGCTGCAGAGACGAGCGCTATGTCTGCGATGTGGGTGGAGAAGATCAACGAGGCTCTCGTTCGGGGAAATGCGCATCTCCAGACACGGACTCAGGCATGGAGACCGGAATCAAGATGATATCCAAATGTAATGCACCGCATCTGTGAGCTTGACGACTCGGGGTTGTTATACTTTCCTTCTTGACCTCAGGGGACAAATTCACGCGCGACTCGGGGTAACGATTTATGTAGTAATTGGTATTGGTATTGGTATTGGTATGCGCGTGCGCGCATCTACAATTTGTATTACTTACTCGGATTTGGGATTGAGTTATCGGTATTTTTGTGCAGCAGTTACTAGGGGAGCTTAGAGTCAGAGTTACATCCCAGTGAAAATCGGAAGATGCCCTCGCGCCGAGTCGCACGCGGGAGATCGACGGACATTGAAAATCGATAGAATCAGAAAATGGGCTACACGCCGGTACTAGTATACCCGTTCGCGCCAGCTCCTCTAGCGAGGACTGTCCTATCCCAGTGCCGGGCTAATGTAACGTGCCGCAGGAGTGTTGAAAAAAAAAATCAAAAATCATCAGCGCGGTCGCTGGCAGCGAGCGAGAGATACGACTCACTACTTGCGAGGGATGATATCCCCACGCTCCTTCGCGTGGTTGATTGCGCAAAGCAAAGCTGTGTGGCCCGCAGTGGTCTCTGGATGTACAGCGAGGAATGCAGGCTCATGTCCATTGAATCTATTACACGGAATGGTGATGGACTCCAGCGCAATCATTCATTGCAAAAAAATTCTCATTCTTCCCGCGGTGCCACTCAGGTGGCCAATCTCAAAGTGGAAGTAGCAAGCCATGCTCGGGGTCACCACCTGTCCAGTGCTTCACAATTTGTTTCCAAGAGGCAGCTCTGGGGATGTGGCTCTCATCAGAGTGTCGTTTCGGAACATCAGGTACGACGAGTCCCTTCTCGGGTAGTAGCGAGCGCAAATCAACTTGAATGATGGCGCCATTTGTAATTTGAGTCAGTGCAGAGGGCTCTGGGAGAATAGAGGAGAGAATAGCAGGGCATGGTTGAGACTCGGAGCTGGGTGGCTGGGTCGATGATACAGTCAGTAGCATGCAGCCGTAGCAATCCGAGAGAAAGGTGTATTGAGTGGCTGCGCCGCACATATGATGACTGCAGTAGATTCGTGCCTGCATCTTCAGCGGGATAGTCTTCGACAGAAGAGCTATAACGGTTTTGGTGGAGAATCATAGGGGGATGGTGTGGAGATCTGTTGAGGTGAGATGACCATGAGATGAACTTGGCTTTGGCTCAAGTGCAAGATGACGAAAAATAGTGCATACTACCTGAGCTGGTAGCGAGGTATCTATTTCCTCTAAGTGGAATATTCAGTCGCGAATTCGCGCAGCTATTGTGTTGTCCGTGGTGCAGACGTAGTGTCAACTCTCAATATCACACCAAGTGTTGTGATTTAGGAAGATGACAATACTTGGCGATATTGTCCTCATGTGGCAACAATGAGCCGTCCCATGCAAATGTGCGTGCAATCGCATTCGTAAGTCTTGCATTCCCTGGGCATAACGTTAAGCAGGAGATTGGTGATTCTGCAGGAGAAGTCCTAGTGGTAGTAAGTCACTTCTACCCTGTCCTCCTGTTCTAGCGTCCAAATTTCGTTATCCCCACTGACAATGTTTACATGTGTTATGTACATGGTTCTAGGCCCGGGCCGGCGGGCCCCCACACTGGCCCTCGCAGCCTGCCCCTCACACTCAAGGCAGTAGCTGAGAAAGAACCTGGTTTTGACTAGGCTCGTGACCAGCCTGGTGTATACTAAGGTAGGCGTCATGCAGATTCTACAAACATCACATGATGTGACATGAGTGCGACGTGTCAATGCTAACTACGCCGAGCGGATGCCGAAGAGGATAAGTAAAGTAAGGTAGATGTCGAGCGAATGGTGAGGAGGATAAGTAAGTAGGTAGTACTGTAGAGTGTGCATATACAAATGCAGACATTAGAACACTTTATGTGAGATATATACCAATGAAAATATGCTAAAAAACTTAAATGGAGACTTGATCAAACTCTCGCATGATGGACTCTGGAAGAACGCGATGGCCACGGTACTTTGGACTTGCGAGAAAGGCTTGCTAACAATACTCAAAGCTGCACCATTGGATGCTTTGCTCAATGCACTGCAGACATCATCTGCAACATGACCCTATTGTTGACGATCGATGATGTAACATAGGCGCATGCTACCATCTCCGGAGGATTAACCTCCGGAGCTTCTTTACTTTACCTTTTCCAGTCGTTATCATCCTTTACCTTTTCTAGTTCTTATCATCTCTTGGCACCTTCTGCACCATATGTCGTCCTCGCCGGTACTGATGTCACTGGCAGCTTCCTTCGCTTAGGTTCCCTACTTATATGTTCTTGTCCCCATAGTTTCACCTCAGCATCATTTATCACGTCCTGCTGAGGTATGCCTTCTTGCTCACTAGTACTTGACCCTTGCTGACGTACCCTAGACTTGTCCTAGGTAGATTCAATGTCAGCGTCGTTTATCACGTCCCGCTGAGACTTGTCCTAGCTTCGTACAGGTTATGAGCCCTGAGCTCTAGCAAAGCTCAGACACCCACGAAGTTGATGACTCTCGCATTAATGTATAACGTTCCCGCTGCAGGTCTGCACCAAACTCATCGAACTTCTCCCCAGTACCTCATCGTCATGGGGAAGTACGACTTCATCATCGAACTAACCGGTGTAGGGATTCATTTCTGGCTGGGCTTGTAGAGACTGTTTTTACCTTACCTTATGTTGGCACTTTTGTAGCTTACATAATCAATGAATCTTTTCACCAGTTACCAGTATGGGTCTGAGGGCTGACCAAGTTTCTATGATATTTCCTCTCCTCTGAGCCTTAAGCCTAGTCCAGAAACCCTTTAGGGTCGAATAGCAGCTAGGTTCTGCAAGACCCAACATTGTTCAGACTCACCATCTGAATTGTTGTACCTTCACCGGCGCAGATGATTATCCTTCCTGGTGTCGTGCAGTGACCCTCGCTCTTCAAGGGGATGGACTATGGAACCACTGTAGTTCTGGTACCGACCCTAACAATTACGCAGAATTCGCCTCAGTCATACCCTCTCCGGCAGTCGCTGGGTCTCCTACTGCCACCGAAAAACAGAACATTATTGACTGGATCAAGGAGGACGCACAGGCAAAAGGTATTGTCTGTAGGAAACTCTCAGCCGTTGTTCAAGGTCTCCTCAACGAGTCCTGGACCGCGAGAGAACAGTGGAATACCTTAGCAACTCATTTTGGACGTCTAGACATCACGTCTCAATTTGAACTTCGCGCACAGCTGTTTGCTGAAAAACTCAAGGACCCAGACGATACACCACGTTATATTAGTGCGTTTGAGAATGCTAGGCGCTGCTTCGCAGAGATGGGTGTTATAGTCACCGAGGACGAGCTGGTGTTCCTTCTACTCCACGGCCTTCCACACACTCCTGACTGGCTCATATTCAAGCGTATGACTATGAATTTGTACAGCACTCCCTTGACAATGTCTTCCACCTCCTCTGCCTCCGCTACCGCATCCACTACCACCACCACCACCACCACTAAGATGACCTTTTTGGCTGTAGTCACATCCTTATCCGAGGAGGCTAACCGTCTGCGAGGAGAACAGAAGCTTGCTGGACCTGGTTCGGAGTACATGAATGCCACGTCATTCAGGAACTTCGACAGTAGGAAGACTAACCCCAAGACCGGGATCCGCATTCATAGGTCTAATCCCAAGGGGGTGAGTTGCAACAACCCGCTGTGCACTGGGCAGCCACGCTCCTTCACACACGATCGGGAGCACTGTTTTCAGTCGGGAGGAGGAATGGAGGGCCAGGGAGGCAACAGGAATCGTGAGAGGAAGCTGAGTACCAAGAAACCCGAGGTCTCCGCTGTGACCAGTGAAAGCAATGCCTCTTCGTCTAACCCAGCACCAGCAGCACCACCTTCGTACTCCAGCAGCACTGCTGCTGCTGTCCGTGACCTATTGTGTGCTATACTGGAGGAAATCCCATTCGACGATCCCGAATCTTACCCAAGCTTCGATGATGTCGCCTGCATATCCAGTCAGATGCTATCTACCATCTTGGACTCCGGCACTACGTCAAATCTCATCATTGATCGCTCTTACTTCTGGACTTATTCGGAAAACTCCACTGTTACCGTTAAGACCGCTAATCATGGCAAACTCGCAACGTCAGGGCGCGGTAACTGCGTCGCAGAATTGACGCTTGGAGGAAGAACTTTCCATATCACGTTCACGGACTGCCTGCACGCACCTGGGGCAATGATTAATTTGCTCTCAGTCGGACATATGCTGAAAAGGAAGTGGTCCTGTGCCTTTGAACACTCCCCAGCTCGCTGTCAGCTCAAGTATCATGGTGAGCTCTTGGGAGAACTTCCGATGGTCGGGAATCTGTTCTTTATTGACCTCAAGTTCATTCGCCCAGATGAGTCCCCTCCTGCATTTCACACTCGAGAACTCTCAGCATTCGCTCGCTCACCGCTGTCCCTGGACTTATGGCACACTCAGATGGGTCACCCAGGAGGAGATGCTGTCAAGCGTCTCAAGCACACAGGTACTGGAGTAATGTTCGAAACGTCGGCTCCCCTTCAATGGTGCGAGCCTTGTATCATGGCAAAGCACCCTCGTAAGCCCTATCCACCTTCCTTGGAGCAGCGCACCAGTCACATGCTGGACCTGGTGCACTCTGACTTATGCGGTCCTTTCCCCATCGCTACACCTCACGGCAAACTGCATTTCGTAATCTTCCTCGATGACCATACCAACCTGCTTAATCTTCAGCTTCTTGCAACGAAGGATCAGGCGCTGGAGGCTTGGAGGATCGTTAAGGCACACTGGGAGAATCATTCGGGTCGTACTGTGCAAATCTTCCGCTCAGACAATGGAGGTGAGTTCCTTAGTAAGGCCTTCGTGAAGGACTCCGGGATTGAGCGACAGCTCTCCGCACCCTACGCTCATCAACAGAACGGAAAGGCAGAGCGTGCAATTCGCACAATCGAGGGTCGCCTTTTTGCGATGTTGGAAACGGCGGGCCTCTCTGCGAACCTTTGGGGAGAGGCAGCACTCACGGCGTGCTACTTGTGGAACAGAAGCGCTTCGAGCACCCTACCTTCGGACGTCACTCCTTATGAGATGGTGAATGGCCGAAAGCCTGATCTTTCTTACCTCCGGCATCTGCAAACTAGAAATTTCTTCACAGATATGGTAATTTTCGACAGTTTCCCACAGCCACCCAAAGTGGCGACAGAGCTCACAGAACGTACAGCCCCAGACGCCAAAGTGGTCACAGAGCTCACAACCGGGTCAGACTGTTCAAAATAAATTCAATGGTTTCCAGCTCAACGGCCTCAATCTTTTTAAAGTGTTGAAGTCTACTAGTAGTACTAGTACTTAGTACTTAGTACTTAGTAGTAGCAGGCTCGGAACTTCCTTTTAATTGCTAGCTTGAATTTGCACATTGTCCCCAATTACGATACAAACATTATATTCAACGAAATACCAATATATAGTAGTAGTACTGTACATACTAGTACTACTAATGCGCGCGCCGAACTTGAACACAAAAGAATAAGAATAGCTCGAGTCATCAGTCTAAAATTACTGATACACGACGGTTGGATTGTTCTGTGATAAGACATGAAGTTTGCAGTGGCGAATGTGAACAGATATGACTTACCTTGCAAACTGCATGGCGCAAGTGAACGGTGAGAAAGACCGTATTTTTGAAAAGTAATTCGCATATACCCTAATCCTATATCTGCTTTGTCGAGCTTTTTCTTCGAAACGTCGGACTGGTGCTTAGAAAGATTCGCCATGATTTCGCGTTCTCGCACTACACAATCCGCTAGCACCTTCTCCGCCCTAAATACATCCCGCCTCGCCCTCGCTAGGTCCATGACGAGGTTGGCTTCAAGTTCATCAGTGTCGTTGATTGACTGTAAGTACCATGTTACTTAGAGCGAATGCGATACAATATGATTGACTTACCATTGACCTGATACCATCGGCTATATCGTACAGGTCAGAAATACCGCTGGAATCGTGACGACACGAGTGACAACTTGGACATTGCTGAACAGAGTGTGTGCGCGTACAAGGCATCAGGCGCGAAGATGATGATGGGATATCATTGCTGAGATTAAGACTGATTGGTGGGGCTGACATTTCAGAGAAACAAAGAGTAAGTTGTTGATTATGAATTGGGCTTCTCACGACTCACGAGTGTCGGACTTTGCGAGGACCATCATGTCCAATTTCCAGTGTCCTTCATGCGGTAAAGCCAGTTTCAGAGATCAGGTTGCTGTTGCTCGTCACATGAGCCAGCCTCGCTCAGGATGTAGCACCTGGCTACAGGATTTAATACGTCTGCGGGACCTATCTGACGATTCTATGAATACAGATGACTTGGACGGACCGAATATTCCCGGTGGTGGGCCTCAGGCTGAGGTTGAGTTCACATTCGGAGATAGAGACGAGTCATTTGAAGGTAGCGGTGAGAGTGGTGGCCAGGCCTCTGAGGAGGGATTACTTCCGAATGGTGCCTCAGATTTCGTCGACCAATATCCCGAATCTTCTCGGACGTATGGCATGGGGTACACCTTCCTCGACTTATTCAATTCTGATGAGAATAGTGTGTACCGTGCCAAGAATCCCTATTACCCATTCAGTGGCTGGAAGGATTGGGAGATTGCATCGTGGTTACTGCGCTCAGGATTGAGCATGGGGAAGATAGACAGTTTTTTATCACTCGACATAGTAAGCAAATTGTTTCATTTTCATTACAATTCCGATGATAAGTCTTTTGTCAAGATTAAGGGTCTTCCAATATCTTTTTCCTCGGCCAAGGAACTGCGAGGCAGAGCAGAAATGTTGCCCAGTGGTCCACGCTGGATGTCCCAAGTGCTCTCTACGAGTCATCCCACCAAATCACCCGTCGTTTTGTACTGGCGTGATCCCTTGGACTGTATTTCAGCCATTCTGAATCATCCCTTTTTTCACGATCGGTTAGACTTCACGCCTCGCAGGGTCTATACTACTGCACAACGCTTGTGTCGTGTATATTCAGAATGGATGACAGGCGATGACGCATGGAATATGCAGGTATATATTCATGTTTTGCACCAGTCGCTGAACTTAATGGTTTCTCAACAGTCTGCCCTACCCAAAGGCGCAACACTCCTTGGAACCATTCTATCATCCGACAAAACGAATATATCCACGATGACGGGTGACAGAGTTGCACACCCGCTTCTCGTCAGCCTTGCGAATATCAACATGTCCACACGACTCAAGACATCGTCCAACTCCTTTGTACTCACCGCCTTGCTCCCCGTACCTAAATTTATACATAAGAATAAACGCATGCGAGGTGTACTCGAGGATCGCTTAATTCATGAATGTTTAGATATCGTCCTGCGTCCACTCAAGCAGGCTGCACGTGAAGGAGTCATGTTATCAGACCCTGTTGGACATAGCCGCTATTGTTTTACCCCCCTGGCAAGCTATATTGTCGACACTCCAGAGGCTATGATGCTAGCTACTGTCGGTGGGAAAACATCTCCGGTCACCATGGCCATGTTCAAGCAGTTCGGAGACCCTTTCCGTCACGAACCTCGCACGAAATCAACCACACTTGCACAGCTGGCTGTCGTTCAAACAAGGGCAGATCCCAACGATATTGAAGCCTTCTTTCGCGAAGCGCAGAAATTTCGCCTGAACGGTGTCTCTAAACCTTTCTGGCAGGACTGGACCCTTGGTGAACCGTCTCATTTCCTCACTCCAGAATTTCTGCATCTCATTCACCGAGAATTCTACGATCACGACGTCAAGTGGATGATTTGTGCGGTCGGGGATATGGAAATTGATTTCCGGTTTTCTGTGTTGCAGCCCGTCACTGGCTTTCGTCATTTTTATGGTGGTATCTCCAAGCTAAAACAGGTTACAGGTCGAACTCAACGTGACATTCAGCGTTCGATCGTTGCAGTCAGTGCGGACGCAGCACCTAGTGCTGTGATCACTGCTGTCCGAGCATTGATGGAATTTCGGTATCTCATCCAGTCACCACGTATTGATGAAGACGACATCAAGCGCATTTCTGGAGCCCTCGATGAATTTCACGCCAATAAACACGCTATCACAGCTGGAGGATTTCGTCGAGGCAACAAGAACAAAGTTATCGATAACTGGTACATTCCAAAATTGGAGCTCATGCAGAGTATAGTTCCCAGCATCCGCAACACTGGTGTCGCCATGCAATGGACTGCAGACACAACAGAGCATGCACACATTACAGAGATTAAAGACCCCGCGCGATCAAGCAACAACAACAACTATGATCCTCAAATTTGTCGACATCTCGACCGGGTTGATAAGTGCCGTCGCTTTGACCTTGCAATGAGTCTCGTGGATGGTATGGCAAGCTCGAGGCTACAGGATGACAATATTGGTGATGATGTTGACTTTGATGCGGATGATGATGATGACCTCCCCACGGAATTTACGGCCACTATAAAATGTCCTGGACATTCGCGCCCAATCACCAATTACTTTGCGATTGCGAAGATCCTCCAGCATAAGGAGGTTGGGACTGTCCCTCTGCCATTGCGCACATTCGTCATCGGACGCACGGCCTATCATCTCACATATTCCCCATCCATCAGATCCATCTCCATCAACGATGCTGCTATCAAATTCGGCCTTCCTGACTTACGGCTGGCCATTGCTGATTTTCTTCGTCGCGAAGCTACCCACGGACAGAATTATGTCCACACAATTGGGGGAGCCAGGAGGGCTGGACCTACTGCTTCCCTGCCATTTGATAAAATTCAAATCTGGTTCAAACTTCGCCTACAGGACACAGAGTTTCACGACAGTAGCATCATACGGCCCGCGCAGACCCTGAATTGTGTGCCGCCTTCTGATGTCTGGAACTCTGGTAGGTACGACTCAGCTATTGTGAACAACGAGTCAGGGTGCCTTTGGCCTGCTCATGGTCTTCGTGGTATGTTACAACCTTCTATCATGCTGAATACATTCTCACTGTTATCTTTCAGGTCACACAATTGGTCAAATTAGACTTATCATGCGTCCAGTTGGAAGAATCAACACGGATTGGTCATGGGAGGACCGTTTCCTTGTCTATATGTACCGGTTTGATGGTACAACAAGCGCTCGTGATCCTGCCACACAGTTGCACTCGATCAGAAGGGCGAAACGTTCCAACGGTACATTAGTGGGCGATATTATACCACTGACGCAGATCAAGGCTCCTGTTAATCTCATTCCTCGCTTTGGAGCCAGTGCAGACAGCCGTTTTACCTCACAGAACAGCATGGAGCACGCGTCAGAGTTTTGGGTAAATAAATTTTGGGACAAGAACACATTCTTTCCGCTCTCTATGTAGCTTCCTGCCTGTATTTTTAACTTTTGTGCTATTGGTTGTCAACGAGCTTCTTTCTGATATATTCTTAGTTCAACGAGCATTGATGGATGTAGTGACGCCGTGCGATAAGGGCATCTTGTTGCTCCCACCGTTGTCATATTATAGCTTAGAGTATACCGAACAAATGCCACCTCAGTTCTTTTTCAGGACGGGCGGCTACGGAATAAAGTTGTCGTCATTGGTCTCGCTCCCTGCCGCTGTTTCAGGCGATGCCCTTACAATGAACAAGTACACGGCCGAGGAACTAAATCGTCTAGTTACGCAGGAAGATGAACCCTCTAATTCGCAATCGCTAGGACACATGCTCTCTCATATCTTTCAGCCTTTCAGCATACCTCTACCGGATCTATCTACGCTCCAGATCCCACTCAAAAACATCCTTTATCACAACGAACGTACCAAAGCAAAATTCAGCAAAAATTCACCAGATGACCTGGTGCCATTGTACGATACTGATGCGCAGCTATGGAACTGGGACCTTCCAACTCTTGCTCCCACAAACGAATCTGAATCAACAACTCACTCTCAACCACCTGAAAGCTTAGATTCGGAGGGCAATGCAGGGACCGGCGAAACCGCAAAAGCAACTCACGAAGAAATTTTCTCATCATTCTTCAACGCTTTGGCTATCTGCTTAGCGAAGGCAGAGCCCAAACTACTAGCCAACCCCACTGCGACGCGCACGTGGACTGCGGCCCACGCACATAAAGCATTACCTGGTAGTGAGGTGAAGCGGAAACCCGATCTCCTCTTGTCAGACGAGATCACAGCAAATTGGGGGAATATCAGGGTATCGGCTGAGCTGACGCACAGTTCATATCAACCTGCGTTGCGACTCGTGAAAGCTGCTGATAGTCATGCATATCTCATGCTGAGCGAGCAGCCTTGGAGGCGCTTTGCGCTTGTACTATCACTCACCAACGAGTACCGGGAGCTCAGAGTCCTTTTCTACGATCATGCCGGTGGTGTCGTGTCCCCTGCCTTCAATATCTACCGAAAACCAAGCATTGTTGCTCACATTATTGCTGCCCTTCGTTTCGGCAGCCTCGAGTGCATAGGCTATGACTTGACAGTCTCCTTCACAAGACACATTTCTCCTCCCCAACGCCATGCCAATAACTATCGTCCGATCAAGAACCTCCCTGCCAAACGGCAACCTGCAGATCACGTCATGGCTGCAGCCACGTCTGAGCTCCCTTATCCACCACCCGGTGATGTTGAGGGTGCACCAAGCGCTGTCATCGAGACGATATATCCCGACTCAGAGCCCGAGTCCGAGCCAGAGCCAGAGCCAGAGCTAGAGCCAGAGCCAGAGCCAGAGTCCGAGTCCGAGTCCGAGTCAGAGCCGCATGCTGACGATGGTATGCACGTTTCTATGAAGAATCTGGAGGATCCCCACCTGGTACAAGCCACTGCCATCTCCAGCGCCCCCCTTCTCAACCTCGCATCCCAAGCGCCTGAGGAGCCTGACAGTATCTATTCTGCTACACCCCATCCTTCACAATTCCCGTATTCAGCTCAGTCACCTGAACCGTGTGGCAAAATTCGTGTCAGGGACACGATCTACACAATCACAAGGATCCTGTTTGCGAGTCGCGGCCTTGTTAGTCGCGGAACTGTCTGCTACTTGGTCTCTTTGGATGATAAGGAATTCATCATCAAAGACCATTGGGTTCAGGGTAAGGAGGATCAGGTGATCTTGAATGAGATCGAAATGTTGAAGCGCATGTCTGGCGTCCCTGGCATTCCCGAGTTGGTGGATTGGTGGGTGGTTGAAAGGTCGAATGGAGAACCCGATGTGACCAGCAAATATCGAAAACAACCGCAGCGCCTAAGTATTGCAGGGACCAGTCGCTCACACGTTCGACTTGTCTTGACGCCCTGCGCTCGCCCCCTGCATATGTTCTGAACTCTTAAAGAGTTTGTGAAAGCGCTGAGGGACATTGTCATCAGTAAAGTGTTTTTTTTGATTGGCAATCTTTGAACTGACATATCTAATTTCAGTTCAACGCACGGCGGTGGAGGAACGCAAGGTTCTACACCGCGACTGCAGCTTAAATAACGCAATGATTGTAGATCTGTTAGGAGGTGGTAGTAAAGGGTTTCTAATCGACTGGGAGTTCGCAGTGCGCATCAACCCAGATCTGAAGTATGCCATCGGTGGTACGGTAAGTGCGTTCAGTTAATTACAGTACGTCTAGTACTGATCTGTTCGTCCAATCTACAGGGAACAATCCCGTTCATGTCTCGCAGGCTTCTTGCCCAACTCTCAGATGCACAACAGGCAGCGCTGGGCGGAAAGAAACCGAAATATATCCCGAAAACGTCTTCAAACGCTTTGGCGTTGCCTGTATCGCATGTCATTCAATGCTTTTCAGACGACCTCGAATCACTTTTCTTCGTCTTCATCTGGATTTGCATCAAATTCTGTGGCCCCCATGGCCAGGTACGCCAGGATATGATAGGAAACTCAATACCTGATCGCTGGAACAACATGGACCTCGAATCCTGCGCGGCCTTCAAGGGCAATTTTTTCGCAACTAAGAAGGAGGAACGCCGTCTTGTAGACGAGATCCATCCTTACTTCAAAGACTTAATCCCTCTCGCCAAGGAGTGGCGTACGGCTTTGAAGGACAACATGGAGAACCCTGTTTCCTTCAACACCATCCTTACATTATTGAACACTCATCTTGACCGCCTTCCGGATGACGAGGAGCTCATTTCCACTGTCGAGACGCTCAGAAAATCTGCTGCTATTCTCGCAGACCGTGTCGAGAAGCGTGCCGCTTCACAATCGTTCCCCATGGAATTACCCAAGCGTCGGAAGGCTGATGGTATTTCGGAGACTGACAACGAGTCAGACGGTTAGCATACATACAGGCTGATTATTCAACGTAAACATCGTTTTTCATTACTACTTTGTTGTACTCTCATTCTCACGTTGACCCGATGTACTGCGTTTTTGGTTGTTGTGACTTGTATGACTTATAAATTATGTTTCTTGGCAACTTGACTTCACACATTTATTCTCATCAAGATGAGTCACTCAAAACATGCAGCATTGATTATTACATGGTACGCGCTTCAGTGTGATGTTGCACGCATTTTTGAAATGTAATACTGTCCATTACTCGCATCAAGGCTGTTCTGTTGGTCCACCCGGCGCCGAGACATGATATTATTATATAAAAGACTGGTGAGTTTGCGACTTGATGAATCGCTAGACTCAGGCTTCACCTCTTTCTCTATCCTCTGTGTAGTTGCAATCATGCCTCCTCGTGCTATTAACAGCCCCAAGAAGAAGAGGTCGAAGCGCAAAGGCTCAGATGCTTCAACTGGCAGGGCAGGTGTACCCAAAAAATCTCGTCAGGCTACGGACCTCACCGAAACACTCAGCGTACCACTTGTTTCCCTTGGCCTTGCTGAAGTTGAAGATGGTGCTCCACGACGTTCTGGCCGCCCCAATGCAGGGACCGGAGGTAGGAACAGCCAGCTAGAAAAGATTGGTGCAGTCCTTGAGTCTCAGTCTCGAAGTCGTCCTCCCAAGGGCTCCACGTCCCTCAGTCCTAATATCCCAGTGAACCCTCAGGCTCCGGAACCAGCTCGTAAAGGACGGAAGGGTCGTTCAAAGGTCAGGCATGTAAGTATTCATTTTTACTAATGCTGATGTTTGCATTCAGGCGGTTCCTCCGCCTTATAGTTCACTCACGGTTACCAATGGTCCTGCGAGCATTGATAACACAGGTCCTGGTCTTTCAATGCACCAACCTGGCGGAAGGTTTGGTTTCATTGCTCCTCCTAGTGCTGGCCGTAGTCTTCACGAGGCTAACAATCCACATGTCACTGTTGGCTCGAAGGCTGTCAAGAAGCGTGCTACGAAAGTAGCTCGTGATCCAAACCCACGCAATATCATACCGCCACTCACCACCTTCGTGGAACAAAACTTGGATCCGGCCCTTTTCGAGGAGGACAACAATGTCAGGCGTCAACCTATACTGCGAGAATCCCAGCTATTGAACAGTGGACCCAAAGTCAGCAGCACCAACGACAGCGATGACGAAGACGAGGACGAGGACGAGGATGGAGACGAGGATGAGGACGAGGATGGGGATGAGGACGAGGATGGGGAGAGGGAAGAGGACGAGGATGAGTCAGACGAGGATGAGCACACCAATGAGAATGGGTACCAACGTCACAATGGCCATCCAGGTAATTTCCTTTATCGTACTGAGATCCACCTGATGTTGTTCCCTCTTTCAATCTTACAGGCTTCTCAAACGAATCGCTACTTTCGCAGCCTCGAGTCATTCGTCATCTCTCACCTGAATTCGATTTTCAGTACTCCCGCGATGAGGATGATGCGGCTGCTCAGACGAGCCTCAATAAAACACTGTAGCAAACTCTCAATCCTCGACCGTCCACCAGAACAGTGACTCCCAGGTATGCTGACATGGATTTACTGGCATTGCACTTATTCTTTTTGCTCTTAAGGGCTCTCTGGATCCTTTGGTAGGAGTGCAACGGCAACAACAGACACAATGTTCTGAGGTGAGCAAATGGTTTTTATTCTGAACGAGGCTCACAGTGATCGTTTGCATACCTCGAAGCCTAGCGACGTATTGGAGTCCCACCACAAGAAAAATGGCCAGCCCCGCCTTCCCGACCCTGAAACTCTTGAGCTGCTTCATCAAGTAGCCGAGCACGCTGATGACCAACAGGCTCCCCGGAGAAACAGAAAGATGAAACGGTCAGAAGACGGGCCCAAACCTACTCTATTAGCTTGGTACGGGCCGCGCTGGAAAAGCTTCCTTGAGCACACCAAGGGAGAATGTCGTGTGGAACACGCACTTGACGATCCATTCCCGAGTTTTGTTGGTGATCTTCCAGGGTCAGTAACTGAAGTTCTCATTGCAACTTTAGTCATTTGGGACAAGGAAGGAAAACAATTCGAAGCTGGTGCGTGTTTGCTTCTTCTTGCGCTAATTTGTTTCATGTTGCAATCCAGGGGTTTGGCCGGAGCAAAAGTGTAACATGGCTCGATTGGTACGTGTTTCGCTCTCTTAATTTACAGTCTCGCTGATACAATAGGTCTTTATTGAAGTTATATGACGATCTTTCGACCTGGCGATCAGAACTCAAGAAAACTGCCATAGGCTTAGCACCTCTTGCATACTCACTTGTTCCCCCCGCATCAGTCCCCGCTCAAGAACGTGCAACGTGGGTCCAGAATGCTGCTTCGCAATTACTTTCGGAATCCGAGTTTTTACGGTTTGGATTGGATGCATTGGTGAGTGATTGTGCACTGACTCCGACGACATACATTAAAATCACTAGGGCAAAACAAGGAATTTCGCTCATCCTGGCCTTCGTGACGCAGTTATTGGATTCTTTTACACAGGGCCGTATCGAATTGCCCGGAAGAGGCCAGATATCTTTCGCAAGCAATTGCCCATCTCATGTTTGGCTTTGGTTTCCGCTGCGGTACTTTCTTACTTTCTGCCTTGACATCATGTATTGACATTTTTATAGTACAATTGTGTCCTCGACGGTCTCGTCAAAAACGGTCACGGCAAATCTTATCCCAAGTTCTCCGCCAAGGAATACGGCCCGATATACCGCCAGATGGTCAGAATGATCGATCAAATTCTTCAACATCCATATCACGGTCCCAGGTTAGTATCACAACTTCAGGAATGGGCTGAAACAGGATGGCAAGAACAACCTTTTTTTATTGAAATTTCGGATGCTGATTATTTTCACCCAGGGCCGCATGTCTAAAACTTGATGGCGCTGAGGAGACCAAACACACCCATCTACAAATCGTCCTCGACTAAGTCTTCGCATTCCTGTGTCCGAGTTACAGTACTACCATAGTTTGGGAGCCGTTTTTTGTTTCGTATTTTGCTACTACTAGTATACTGATGTTTCCGTACCACGTGATTGAATATATTGCCATCGTTCCTAAACACCTTGGGTGAACTGTACATAAATGAATGTGTGCACAATGATTGCTCTCTGAGTGCTCTGTGAGTGTCTGTACATACATAGACAGTGAAAAAATGTGCAATTTCACAGGTAGTTGTTATTTACTGGGTGGTCTGTGAGTATCTGTACAGAGATCCACAAAGTAAGGAGCTACTGTGACAAACTGGCTAGTAGGGACCAAGCTGTAGAGCTTGTGCGCTGTACAGCTCTGTACAGCTCTGTACAGATCATTCTGGTTTGCAGATGGGGTGTTTGGCTCCAAGTGCTTTGCACACATTCCCACCGAACTGCAGACCAAACTTGGTCCTCACTCACGTCGTGCCATTTTTGTAGGCTACCCCGAAGGTACAAAAGGCTATCGTCTACGTGACAGCAATGGGTCCTTCTTGACTGCTCATGATGTCATTTTTGACGAGCGCTTCCCCACTATAGGTCCCGAGTCTCGGGACTCTGATTCTGAGGATGAGGTTCCCACGACTCACCTTCCTCCTGCTTTACCCTCTGTCGCCACTCCAATCACTCAGCCTTCGCAGCACCCTTCACCACTTCCCCTTGTACCTGCCCAGCGTTCTGGCAGGGCCAAAGTACTTACACCGGCTGGACGCACCTACGCAGAGGAGATGGCGGCCACCAAGGATTGTATTGCGCGCTTACGCGACTCATGGGCGGCGCGCGCAGGGTCTGCTCACTCGAGTGAGGGGGTGAGGGAGATGGCGAATACAGACGAAGGAAAAGATGCAGGAATAGATGCAGGAATAGATGCAGGAATGGAGGAGAACTTAGCGGATATAGAGCCGAATGTCGACATTCCCAAAGTCTACACTAACATCATGATTGAAGAGCACGCACATATCACCATCTGCAGCGACCGCAAACGAGACCCCAACAGCCCTGGGTACGACATGCGAATTCCCCCAGCTACGTATGACGAAGCCATGTTGCGCACTGATCGCGACGACTGGCTGGCGGCTATGCGAAAAGAGCTTCGCACTATGGATGAAATGCACGTCTACGAGCTCGCTCCCCTCCCCAACGGTCGCAAAGCAATAGGCAACTGTTGGGTTCTCGAATTCAAAGACAACAAGGGAGGATCAGCATTCAAAGCGCGCCTTGTCGCTCAAGGGTTTTCACAGATACCGGGAGTAGACTACGGTGCAACATTCGCGCCAGTACTAAAAACCGCGTCCCTACGCCTCATCGCTGCTCTCGCCTGCAAAAATGACTGGGAGCTCCACTCATTTGACGCAACTCGAGCCTTCCTCTGGGGTGTACTCAAGGAGGACATATACATGCGCCAACCTAGAGGCTTTGAAGAGGGCGACTGGAGGGTGCAGGTTTGGCGGATGCTCCACACTATATACGGCTTGAAGCAGTCTGCGATGGAGTGGTACGAGCAGGTCAGAGCAGTCATGGGAGAGTTGGGCTTCTCACGTTGTGAGGTCGACTATGCAGTCTTCATCTTCGACAGTCACGCAACCAGCACCCACATCGTCTGTATAATCGGATTCCACGTGGATGACGGTATGGGAACGTCAAACTCACCATCATTCCTGACATGGGTGAAGCAGCAGATTCACAAGTGTTTTGGAATAAAGGACATGGGCCCAGTCACTAAGTTTCTCGGCATACAGTTTGAACGTAACCAAGGCTCCCGTCAACTCTGGCTGCACCAGGGTGCGTATATCACATATCTGTTAGAGGAATACGGCATGCTCGATTGCAATCCTGTCCATCTCCCTCTCGACTCTCACCACCCGTTCGGCAAGCCTGATGACACCCATGACGCAGTACCCAACATCCTCACCCAATTCCGCAAACTCGTGGGCGAATTGCTCTTCCTTGCAGTCTGCACCTGCCCAGACATATCCTACGCCGTGAACTCACTCGCACAGCACAATTCCAATGCTACTCCTGCACACTATGCAGCTGCAAAGCGGCTCCTGCGATATCTCTCTGGCACCATCAACCTCCGTCTGCACTACGGGGGTGCCAATGTTAATGACGACCTTCACGCCTACTGTGACGCCGACTGGGCCAGCTCTCCCATAGATTGCTTGTCTATTTCAGGATACATTTGGTTTTACGCTGGGGGTGTCATAGCTCACGTCTCGAAGAAGCAGACAACACACGCACTGTTGTCAACCGAAGCTGAGTACATGGCTGCCATGCATGTCATTCAGGAAGGCTTGTGGATTAAATCCCTCCTCGTCGCTCTCCATGTTAACATCCCGTTCCCCATCATCATCCATATGGACAACACGGGCGCGATTTCATTGTCAGCAGAGGCTAGGAACCACATCCGCTCGAAACATATCGATGTGTGGTATCATTTTATTCACGAGCACGTCGAACGAGGCACGTTCTTGCTGACATGGGTCCCATCACACAAAAACACGGCAGATATCTTGACGAAAGCTCTCCCACGTCCACTCTTCGAAAAACACATGCCCGGCCTCCAACTGGTGTCTCGGTGAGGGGGTGTGTTGACGATCGATGATGTAACATAGGCGCATGCTACCATCTCCGGAGGATTAACCTCCGGAGCTTCTTTACTTTACCTTTTCCAGTCGTTATCATCCTTTACCTTTTCTAGTTCTTATCATCTCTTGGCACCTTCTGCACCATATGTCGTCCTCGCCGGTACTGATGTCACTGGCAGCTTCCTTCGCTTAGGTTCCCTACTTATATGTTCTTGTCCCCGTAGTTTCACCTCAGCATCATTTATCACGTCCCGCTGAGGTATGCCTTCTTGCTCACTAGTACTTGACCCTTGCTGACGTACCCTAGACTTGTCCTAGGTAGATTCAATGTCAGCGTCGTTTATCACGTCCCGCTGAGACTTGTCCTAGCTTCATACACCTATGTGCCGAGTTTGATGTGAGCTGTTGCAGCTTCCGAAGTTTGGTTACTACTCACATTTTCATCATTTTTTGCAGTGTCCGAGCTTGTTCTTTGTCGCTTTGATGCCCACCATGCATTCAGGCCTGCAGCACGACATTTTCGCCACTGTGGTTTGTCAACCATGCCAACTTGGGGCCCTCAGACGAGCCTGTCGGCTTCACGGCAGCCTTGCATTTCGGAGTCGACGAGCTTTGACCTCCGCTAGGACATCAGGAAAATGGAAATCCATAGAAATCAAGTTAACTAATTAACAACTGCACTTTTGCAAATTCTGCAAATATCATAATCTTCGCAAAGGCTTCTTCTATCCATTGACATTACAGATTGTGTCCTCGTTTCCTCGTTGATTTGTTAACCTTTTTTCTGTGTTTTGTCACTCAAAATCACGCTTTATCACGTGATGTTCGTACATCTCAAATTGACGCATAGTCAGACTGGTTACGAGTCTAGGTTTTGACTAGGAACGAGGGTTTGACTCAGTTAACATAGTTGACACCACAGCCAAATTTTGCCCATGGAATTGGGACTTGCCAAGTACCATGCGCCTGTAATCGTGTATTAACAGCACCATAGCCTTGCAGCTGAGAGCTGGATCCACCAGTATCCATGTGACTCGTGACTTGTGTGCACAGGTGCAGTGATGTTGTGGATTAGAGTCCAAATAATTTACAGATAGCCTACGTAAGTGTACCGGCCTCGACGTATGCAGGGGTATATGCGTGCTTAACATGTGTTATATATTGATATACTTATATGTCCTAGGAGGTGGCAATCGACTCGAGTGGCGTTACAATGAGTGGACATTGACTTCCTTTTTTGAATTGTCCAGAAACATATGGCCGTGTGAGAACGCTGTTCAAAGAGGGTGTCAGAATGTATCCTGGATATGATGTGCGCCACTTACACGTTGGCTTTGTAGATTCTTTTGTCTGTTTCGGCAAAGCTGAAAGTCGTCAGGAGGATATAGAGAAATGTCTTCATCTCGATCATAGAGAAACGCATCCCGATGCATGACTGAAGGTCTAAATGAGCGATGTCGACAAGGACTTGAGAGAGCTTACTCTCGGCCCAGCGGAGAAAGTCAGAAGATTAGAGTATAGCCCTGGAAGTGACAGCACATCCTCCGAAAGATGATCCCATCGATCAGGGCTGTAAATTCGTTTCATGAGGTGGTTTAAGTAAGCGGGCACAAAAAGCTTACTCAAAATCCCAGGCATTAGGTCCCCACATACCCTTGTCGAGGTTGAAAGCCTCTACTGGGACGTGCACGAAGCTCCCCTTCGACACGCTTATGGACTTTTGCTCCGAGATCGTGCCATCGCTCAAGTGGACGGGGTATGATACAGGTATCTCGTCATCTTGCGTTGCAACACGGAGGGAAGAATGGACTGGAGGGACCAGACGCAAGGACTCCCGACAGACATTGTTCAAGAACGGTAGGTTCTGTAGGGTGTTGTGTAGAGACTCAGTTTCTTCAGATGACAACCGGGATATTGGAGTAGTTGGCACAATAGAGAGAAGTTCCGTACGAAGACGAGTTTGCAAGTCTGGATGTTTTGCAAGGAGAAGGAATGTCCACGTTAGAGCGAGAGATGTCGTATCGGACCCTGCGAACATGAAGGTATTAATGTTGTGTAATATATCTTCGTCGGAAATTCGCTGATCTGGTGGAAGGTCTGTTGCAATATTGGATTTCACTACGATTCCGTCAGCCGACCGACTGGAAGAAATGACGGTAGACTCACACAACAGACTCAGTAAATCTTTACCGGTATATGCGGAACCGCTCTTCTGTTCATCTATAATTCTGGATTTTTTCTGCTGCACTAATTTTCCTGCTACACGACGAATAGTTTCTTGGCATCTGTGGACGGTCTTGGCCCTCTCATCAGGCTACAGAGCTCAGTCAGTATTGCATTCATGAGGAAACTCATGTAAACGCACGAAA